AGTTCCTGGCCCCGGGTTTAAAGGGTTAAATTTGTAGACATTTGGACATTGGCATTTTTATATTTGTCGGTAATAATATTGGTTGCTCGTTTTGTCGGTAATCGGCGGCCTCTACACCCTCACCCCCCCCCCCCCCACTGAAAAAGATCTAGCGACGCCCCTGATAACGACACAGTTTATACACTCGAGATAATTTTTGCAAGTACTACTGGTGAAGTACCGGACCACCGTCTTTGTGCATTGTGCGGCATCAAAGCATAATTTATACAACGTCTCACGACGTGACAGATCACTTTTCTCTAACTTCTAACTAATTAGAGGGCCTCTTTTTTTTCCATGAAGTGCCGGTAGACATTAATGCGCCAAATGTGGTTCTCAAATTGCAAAAGATCCCTACTCTTGGAAGGGGTAGGAGAAAGCAATTTTACGTCATATTACTCCAGGAAGTGCCTGAAAATGCGTCTAATTTGGTTCTAAAATTGCAAATGCTTCTTACTCTGGGAGGGGGCCAGAACCCCCTCCCCGACCCACCCCCTGCTTGGTCGCTCCGCTCCCTCGCCGTTAAAACCTCGTCCTGTTGCTTCATCGTTTTACATATATTACACCCCATGCCATTTTGTGCCCCCCCCCCCCGGTAAGAAATTCCTGGATCCGCCACTGATGCCCATACCCCTGAGCTTTGGGGGCTTCGCCTCTTGAACCCCACCGGGGCTTTGCCCCTAGACCCCCCTTTGAGAATCGTAATTCAGCGGGGCCTGCATGTTAGAGTGGGGTGATTCGGATTTTTTTTTTGTCAGACCCCCCCCCCCCCCAAACGTTTTTGCTCATTACGCCACTGCTACCCATATAAAGATGTGAAAATGATAATATGGATATCTGATTGCTTTCTAATCCTCCCTATGTCTCTGTGTCTTTCTCTCCTTCTCTCTCTCTCTCTCTCTTGCATTTCTTTTCCCCCTCTCTTTCTTGTTCTATTTGTTAAGTTAATCCCCTCTCTCTCTATCTCTCTCCCTCCCCCTCTTCCTCCCTATGTCTCTTTATCTTTCTCTCCTTCTCTTTCTCTCTTGCATTTCTTTCCCATTCTCTTTCTTGTTCTATTTTTAAGTCAATCCCCTCTCTCTCTATCCCTCTCTCTCTCTCCCTCTCCCTCCCTATGTCTCTGTATCTTTCTCTCCTTCTCTCTCTCTCTCTCTTGCATTTCTTTCCCCCTCTCTTTCTTGTTCTATTTTTAAGTCAATCCCCTCTCTCTATCTCTCTCTCTCTCCCCCTCTCCCTCCCTATGTCTCTTTATCTTTCTCTCCTTCTCTCTCTCTCTTGCATTTCTTTCCCCCTCTCTTTCTTGTTCTATTTGTTAAGTCAATCCTTGGTTCCTTTGTAATTTCTTCGTCATGTTTCGTGGTCAAGTTGTTTGAATATTCGACTGCAAGAAATGTGGAAGTAGTAGTAGGTTAGACCCCGTAAAGGGCTTGCAATTACGCATCATAAAATCTCATTTTCCTTCATTGCTTCTCTCCATCAGGATACTCGTGATTCCCTAGCAAATATTTATTGTACGATCGGCATATTTTTTATTTATCTATTTATTTATCTATTTTTGTTTGTATTTATTTATTTATTCTATTATTATTATTTTATTTTTATTCATTTATTCAGTTAGTTGTTGTTGTTGTGTTTTGTTTTTGTTGTCGTTATTTTTTTTTGGGGGGGGAGGGGTGGTCTGAAGAGGCATAATAAAAAGCACAAATGGCGATAAAAATCTACGACTATTACGCCATCTACGAGGGGGCCTCTCCCTCTCGACGGAGCGAAAGGGTTTCATTTTTAAGTTTCACAATCTCGCTGACGGATTAAATTAAATATATTTTGTCAGTAAATTGGTCTAAATAAATTTATTAGGGCAAGTGGGACATCGGACAATCGTTTCCTTCCGGCCCTTGGCTACGCCACAATTTAAAAAATTGTTTTACCACCTTTTTCAATCAGAGCAAATATTTCACCTTATTTCAACCCACTGCCTACTGGAACCGAGTGGTCCATTTATTAAGCCTATAGTGGTGAGAGAATTCGGGGATAATCGGGTCAATAAAAAGCTTGATCAGTGGCTACCTCGCCTATGATATAGGAAATTTCATTTCTTCCCTTGAATATATTTTGTTTTCCTTTTGAATATATCTTTGGCGTTCTCTCTCTCTCTCTCTGGCCTAGATCGACCTGGCTTCCATCAAGACCATGTTCAAGGAGAAATACACCACCACCCTGGCCGCCATGGTCGAAGACGATACCAGTGGAGACTACAAAAATGTTCTCATTGGTCTCATCAGCGCCGATGCTGCACCTACCCCAGCCCCCACCACCACCTAAAGACCGGATGGAGTCATTCCTTACGTATTATGAAGAAAATAACTTTACCAAGATTATAATTACTAAGCCGCCTTATAAATAGCTGACATTAGTAAACCGTGTACTCTCATAACATCACAGGCGCTAAAAGCTCTGGGCAAGGAGTCAATAATAAGGGTGGCCACTTTGGACAGGTAGATAGGTGACCACTAAGACTACAAATGCTAGCTACATGCATCTGACAAAACTCAATGTCTGATGAAGTGGCGATGTTTCCATTTATATGTACCTTGATGCCATATCATTCCCATTTGAGGTTATGAGAGTACACGGTTAATTACTAGGAGCAATTCATAAGCTGGTTTAGGGATTATAATCTAGTACAGTTAGAATTGTGACTATTTCACAATGCGGTACAGTCTAATACCGTCTGGAAGTGGTGAAAAGGGTGCTGGAGTACAATAAAACCAAGGAATATTAGATATTAAGTATATCGGGGCATGTGCAAATAAATGTTACGTACATGTATATAGCGCATTATATTATAAATTAACTGTGCTTAAAACAGTCTTAGATCCCTTTCTATTGTTATATATGACGCTAGCGATTCGTATAATTATAATCAAAACTATTGACATAATAGTATACTATTGAAGAACTTGTACAGTACATAGAAATCTTTGGTTTTATTGGATAAAAATAGGTGAGTATTTAATATAGATGTAAATAAGAATGCACTGTGGTTTGATCTCATTTCTGTTTGTAATATTTTGAAATATTCCGAGGGTGTTGTAGAGTCTTGACCTTTGGAATGTTGTGTAGGATTAAGCAATCATACATCCATGGCAATAATATGAACACAAGCTTTATAGAACAGAAGCTCTAAACATTTCAATTAAGGGCCATTCATTGAGATACATGTATGGTCCAGGGCATCTACGTGATTTTAAGGATAAATAACACATTTAATCCGACAGCAACAAAAGAAATGAAAGAAATTTGTCTAGCTTCACCACCTTTTCGGTGTTTAATTACTCAATTACAGTGATTATACAACATCTAAAGCGGCGGACAAAATAGAGAACATATGCAAGTGAAGATTTCCATATTCATAAGTATTCATATCATACTATTCATTACTGTACCTTTGAAACAGTGATATGAAGTTTTTTAGTATTATATTGTACAGTCCAATGTGTGTAGGGATTTCAAATCTAGTTTTTAGTGTGAGAGTTTATCTTTTCTAAATGGTCAGATATTAAGAATTACAATTGAGAAACAAGGTGGAACTGGTTGCATAAATATATTATGGTAACAACATACTTCACTATAATTGTAAAGTATCGTACCTAAAACTATACATATTCTGTTTGCACAAACTAAATTACGTTAAATTACTGACAAGCTTATACAATTGCAGCATAATCCTATGTTTTTTTTATCAAACTACGTGTGATTTATCAGAAATATGAACTAAACCTTCTGATAAGTGACACAATGAAAAAGTAACCATGATAAAGTTCAATCATGTTAGATGCTGTTATGGGTTTTGTCACGCTTAGCGTTTGTACCGCGGTTCATTTGTAAACTGTGTAAACTCGATATGATAAGGATTACAATTAATGTAGATATGTATTTGACATTACGAGGAAACCTACTAGGGTTTTCGATACCATCAAAGTGTAACTTCTTCCTATCGTATTTGTATTAAAATCTGAGTTCTTGTTAAAATGGGTTAAAGTTATTACCATTTTCCATAACTGGTAATGCTGATCGACCTATAATGAACGTATTCAGGAAGCAGGTTAATTACCTTCATTTCCCTTTGATATCCCAAATAAATGATCGGAATACGTGTTGTGGCACTGCATAATGTTTGCACAATAATTTAAATCGGTGATAAACGTGGCTATCAAAATTGGCTTAGAATTTTTTTTTTTTAAGTTCTTTGAGATCGTGTTTTCCTTAACATTTACCATTATCATAGTAATTTATCCATACGAAATATATTGCTATAAATTTCACACTGATATTGACAATTGAACTATCAATGAAATTTCAATGCTTACAACTTATTTATCTAATTCATTCCGTCTTTTTAAGTATTTTAGATAAAGACAATATATTTCGTTACTTCAGGAGGTGAAGGGGACGAATCGTAAATTGTTATTGCATTAAAGTAAGAACATAAATAATTGTTCTGATTTTCTGTTGTTTGTTTATTTATTGTTGCTTTTTTTGGATTAAAAAAAGAAGATATTTTATCGTCATTTAAATCACAAAAAATAACAACAGAATGATAATATATACATAATTAATCATAATACTACATGATATTGAAGTTACATTACTTTAGCATGAATGAAATATATGATTACAAAATCGCACATTTTCATTTTTACATCGCCATATCAAACTATTACAAATGCATAACAAAGCCTATATACGCTTGGTTCCTAATTATTACAGAAATATAATAGAATCATATACAGTTGGAAGTTATTACTCATGTATAAAAATATAACATGTTGTGCAATAAATGAATAATATTTCAAAAAAGAGCCTTCCGCAAACACACATACACGCGCGCACACACTCAAAGACACACAGACAGACAAACATAAAATGTGACCTATCCACCCTCCCTCTACATACCCAAAACTGTCCAAACTCCACAACCCCCCCCCCCCCTCCCTTTTCGAACCCAGCCACATCTACACAGTCGTTTGAAATCCAGTCTCTTCCACGTCCCACTTGGAGTCTGAGATAGAAATATTAGCAATGTTAACGATACAAAAATGATAAAGCAAAAATAGTAATCAGATATATGGTAACAGGGTAGAAAAAGATAGTGAGATAGACGGATTAAAACTAATGCTGTTGTCACAACTCGCCGTACGTCTTTTTGCATCTTATGATGCACCAAATTTAGTTACAAGCGCATATTACATGCTGGACACTGTTAAATTAGAAGATGAAACTCGAAATTCATAAATGAACAACACCTTTTGCAAGTTATAACTTCTAGAAGACTTTTCAATGGTAATCAACAGTTGGCCTACACAAACTTTCCCTATCACAGGCACATGACAAGGGAGGTAGGATGGGGTGTCAATAGTTCGTTTACATTTTAATGCAAAGGAATAAAACATATTCGATCAATAGTTTTCTCATATTCTACACAAATTAATTTAGATCAATTGGAGCAAATGAATGTTCAAATATTAAACTACAAATAGATGCAATTAGAAAAAGTATGGTCCAAATAATTACGGCGATTTCGCGATCTCTAAATTAGATGCCGTATCGGAATGCGCTACAGCTAAAGAAAAGATCATAAAAACAACGAGAACTTAATTTGCACACAAGAGTTTGTTTACTCGAGCGATTTAAAAAAAAAGCAACTCAACGAAGGTAAGGTAATTGCATAAATTGCAACTCAGTATATCAAACAATCAGTTGGTGTCACTTTCGACAAACAATTTTGATGACATTGTCTGTCAAAATGAACATTTCCAGAACCTTGGTGATATCAGAATTTCGAAATCTTACCGATTTTTTTTTTGAGATATGGAACAGTCGGCGAATGAAGTTCACACGCGAACTATGGTCACACCACCATACGTATGTAAAATCCAAGAAAAGGTTGAGTTTTTGCAAATATGAGAAAATGATTGCAAGCTTTCTTGTTTTTTAACGTAATTTTGTGAGAGTATCACCGTAGAAATGTCCATCGATAGGAGTCGCTCTTCAAATGCCCTCACATTCGAAATATCACAAAAAACAGCTGAAGAGTTTGGACAATTTAACCTGTCATGCCACATATTTCTGTAGTCCAATACACACACTTCTGTGTTCATGGTATTCATTGCTAGAGACTTTCAACACAACTGTTCGATTTTCTTATCATTTGCATGATTTCAAAACATCACAGTAAACACCACTTATGTGTGCTACCTTGTATAACGATGATCAACCTTTCCCAATCATGGTAATTGCTTCGGACAGCTGACTTTACACTAAAGTCTTAGGACCGGAACTCAACCTTCTTCTTAAACGGGTATAACATTGTTCATTTGCCGGTTTGATCTCATGCTCTTCTGGACCTTTGCCCAGAAGACCTCTTGACCTTCTTCATCCTCTGTCCACAACAAATAAGGCTTGTTCCGACTCAGCAAGAGTCTAACAAGGTACGGTAAATGGTCATCATCGATGTCTTCAAGGAAAATCAGGATGACCTTCTCCAACTTGGTGTCATTCATGTGCTCCACTGTCATACGGAGCTTGGTCATGTACCAGGTATCATCTACAGACTGGTTGCTAAGCAACAATATTGTCTTGTGGCTGTTTTCGATGACGTCATAGATGGCGTTCAAGTAGAACGATCCTGGGTGAAGATCGGCATCGCCAAATATGACGCGCTCCAGATGAGGCATCCTCTGCTCCAGAAAAGGTTTCATGCAGTCATTCACCCACCATTCATCGTCATCATGGAACATGAGGTTGAGTTGGTATTCATAGTCATCCGGATTTCGATCTTCAGTGATCTCATGGTAACCAACGATGGCCAACTTGAGGAGGTACAACTTATAGTTTATCCACCAACGGTTGAGATACACGAGTATACCGAGGGTTAAAACTAAAATCGGCGCAAAACAGGCGGAAACGATAATCATGGTATTGATGCCACAATATTCATCCGGATGGAACGACCAAATTATTTGATTGACCAACACCTTTAAGGAGCTGCTAGAACAACGGGTTTGATTTTTGGGAGCAAGATCTATTTTTCCTTCGACCTCGTTCAACCATTGTCTAAACCAGGCAAGTTGGCAATCGCAGGTCAAGGGATTGTATGCAATATTGAATCTAATCAAACTTGACGGCATGAAAGTGTTGGAGGCTACGGTCGAAATGTGATTATTTTGTAAGTACAACTGTTCAAGTTCATTTGTGCCCATAAACAGCCCTTGATGGATGAATTTAATTAAATTATTCTGCAGCCGCAACACCTGTAAATTTTGCAAACCTTGAAAAGCGTCCTTCGGAATACTGGTTAAGTCATTGTCTTGCAGACTAAGCTGAAGCAGGGTCGTTAAGTTTGCAAATGTTCTTGAGGCAACTTGTTTTATACAACAACTTGTTAAGTCTAGCTCAACAAGATTTCTAAGCGGGGTAAATATGCCAGGAAGAGCGTGCGTGGTATTTAAAGAGTTTTGCCGTAGTTTAAGAATCCGCAAGGAGACTAAGCCTGAGAACAACGATGTTCCTGTCTTTAAATCAACTAAATCCTTAACTTTGAGATTTGACCGCGACATATTGAGAACCCTCAGCGCATGTGTGTTCGTAAACTGGTAAATTGATGAAATTTTCAACGGGCTATATGAAATATCCAGATTAAGTAGATTTTGCATATTTTTAAACGAACCTTTCATGGTGAATTCATTTGAATGCGACATGTCGAATAATTCTAAGGAACCGACTGAAGTGAGGGCGTCCCCTAATATTCGCAAACGTTTGGCATTGCCAGAAAGATTAAGTGCTTTCAAATTTTCCAACCCAGTGAAGGTTTCATGATAAAGGGTTTTTATAAAGTTTTTTGTAAGAACAAGAGTCTGAAGATTAGTTACCTCCCATGGTCTGAACGTAATGCTACGGATGCCACTTTGATCTATCACCAGGCTACGAAGAAACAATGATCCGTCAAACCATTGGGGATTTAATGTCACGAGGTTATTACGTGACAAATCAATTTTCTTGAGGTTTGAGGCGCAAGCGAACGAGGCGCGTGGAAGTGACTGTATTCTATTCCCATACAAATTTATGTTTACCAGTGCATGTAAGCCACAAAATGATTCATTATTGATGTTAGATATACGATTTCCTCCAAGGCTCAGGACTTGCAGTTTTTCCAGACCACGCAGAGCAAACCCTGGAATATGTTTTAAGATGTTTAAATTTAAATTAAGGTCTTTAATCAGTGGCACATTTTCTTTTCGCATCGACGATATGTTCGCTGGATGAATGTACTTAATGCCTGAAGAATCAATCAGAAGTCGCTCGATTTCAACATGGCCCATGAAATACCGGACGTCGAAAGTAGCTAACTTGATATTGTTCATGTTCAGAGTACCTAATTTGGGCAAATGTCCAAACGCCTTAGATTGAATAAACGTCACATTGTTATCATTTAAATTAAACTTATCGACAGAGCAATTTCTCCAAGGTAAAAAGTCATCCTGATTTATAGTTGTAAATTTGTTGAAGGATAGATCTACTGCCGACATATTCCGCCATCCATAACAGTTTTCACACTTCTGAGTACTGACCAAAGTGTTGGATATGTTACTGATGTTGTTGTGTGATAAATTTATTATACATAAATGAGCATTCTTCTGAAGATAATAGATAGGTAGAAAAGTAATTAGGTTATGATCTAGTTTCAAGTCCTGTAATTGTGGTAGAGGTTTGAATGTTCCACTATCAATGAAAGCAATGATATTATTACCAGCATTCAATGTTTCAAGTTGGTTGTAATTCAGGAAAGACCTGTTTCCAAGTTCTGCTAATTGGTTATGATGGATGGATAAGCCCAGCAGGCCATGCGGTAGGTCTTGGGGAACTGAGGTTAGATTGAGATGAGCGCACTTAGCCGCGAAGAAATGAAGCTTGACTGGGCATCTATAGATTGGCTGTGGTGAACGGAGTGGGATATCCACTTTAACACTGTGCACGATACCTCCCCAAAATATTATTATCAAGATCAAGAGTGTTCGCGTCAAGGAATCCATCGTGAGTTGAACCATCATGATCGTTCTCCATAAGTACACTGAGCTGTTTGTTAATATCAAATTAGCGATAACACTGATTTCCCATGCTTGGTTTCTGGAATAGAAGATACTACAGGTGCTAGTTATGGCGACATTCTCTCAGGCTCGTAAGTTATATCGAAACTAACGAGTCAGCAAGTAAACTACTAAAGTCAATCAAATATACCACTAGCGCAGTTCAAGCTTTTGTATTCATGGGGCAAATAGGTGTTGTTATTACGAATACATACCATTGCTGGCTTAACGACAGTATCTATAGCTCATTCAGACCAGTAAATAACCCGTATTGATCACGCACTTAAATTTAAGTGATAAGTTATAATCAGCCAGTCATTAATTGGTTTGACAATGGAAATAAAAAGGGTTATAGGACAATTATGACCACTATTCAGGTCAAGTCCTTGAATCATCTTATTATTTTCTCCTTTTCTTTGTGTAACTTTCTCATAATTTCTCGATTCCTTTATTGCTGAAGTATCAATAAAGTGATGTTTAGTAAAAAAAAAATGTATCCTTTCACAACGCTAGTTGGAACATAAAAGAGGCTTCAAAGGCACTTTCTTTGACCTAATGAGAATACATCGAAAGCGCTTGTGAAGTTTAATCCATGCCTTTTGTATATACCACCAAGCGTTGTAAATTGAATTGTTTTACTATTTTCACTTTGCATCTCGTTTGTCATAGTTTCTCTAAGCATTTTCAACACATACACATACACACACACACACACATGCACACGCGCACACACGCATATATATGTATATATACATACATTATTAAGAAAAAAGTAATGCAAAAGCATATCAAGTCATAATATAAAACGTTGTCCTTAAAATGCATACATTGTATAAACTAACCCCATGAATCGAGACCAGCAGCAACAATATAGTTGCAGCTCATAATGGGCTACCAGCCGTATTTTGTTCTTTTTCTCTGTATGATTAATTTGTATTTATTTTATCTCATTTTATTATACGGAAATAAAAACAAAAACACACAATAACAAAGAGAGAGGGATGCAGAGAATTAATACTACTCTATGTCATGTCTATTAAAGAATTTACATCTACTCTAAATAAAACCAATCTTGATTAAAATATTATGATAGAAAAGGGATAAACAGCAGAAACATAATAACTATTGGCACATATTTTTACCTACAGCTAAGTGATATCCATATATTCATTTAGTCAAGACTTGCACTAATTAAGAACACAATAACAGAATGTTGATACTTCTAAAATTATTTTACATTACAATAATTGAGGCTTCTTCAATTTATAGCAGACATTACAAAAATCAATAGCCGACGGCCAAAAAATTAAAGAAGCGCTGTAAAATAAATGTACCGATTAACATCTGGGTGGAGAGTGGCAACTATGAACAAACGAAACCCTAACCATTGGATTGGGAGTCAAGTAAATGAACCAATATACTATAACACATCCACATGAACATCTTACCCTTGAACATCTTACCCATTTAGCAAGATTTTCATGATAACTTCCAAACATGAGGACGCCCTAAGTGGATATGATGCGTATACGAAATTTATGCAATGTCAGTATCTATCCTTAAATGCTGTGAATAAGTGGTTTGCAATGAAGCAATAGTCGGAGAAGTGGTAGTAGAAGTAGTAGCAGCAGCAGTAGTGGTAGAAGTAGTTGCAGCAGCAGCAGTAGTAGTAGTAGTAGTAGTAGTAGTAGTAGTAGTAGTAGTAGTAGTAGTAGTAGCATTAAAGGTAGAAGTAGCAGCAGCAACAGCAGCAACAGCAGCAGCAGCATTAGTAGTAGTAGTAGTAGTAGTAGTAGTAGTAGTAGTAGTAGTATAGTAGCAATATTAGTAATGGTTCTTTAAATATTCATCTGGAGCCAACTGGCGGAATTGAAGAACTTCGTACAAAGTAGAAAGAACATAATTAACATAAACAAATTGAACAATAACAATAATGCTTTGTAGCAGACATAAAATGCATTTAAATTGAATTCAATATTGGGGGGGGGGTTAAATAAACAAATATACAGGTGAATAAATTACACATCGGTTGACAATATGTGATCACAGAATTACGTCGTTCTTCAGAAATTATATTTATTTTCAGATGAGCGAAAGATAACTAGAGGACAGAGAAAACTTGGTAGAACATGAAAAATGCAGACGGGTAGAGAGAGAGAGAAAGTGTGTAAGAGTAGAGAGATGGAGAGGGGAGAGTTAGAGTGGGGAAAGAAGAGTAATGGTAGATTTATCATTAAAATGTTCCCCCTTCTTCTTAGATCTTCATATTTTCGTAAGCATCTTCCTTGTCAGCAGGTCGTGGCGTTTCGAATACTTCACCCCGATCACGTGAAGATCCTTTTGGTAGCTTGTGAGGGGCAGCGTCAAGTTCCATGTAAAGCTTCCCCATCCTGTTGTGGTCCGTTGTAACAGTTCTGATTGGCTGTCTGAGGATACTTCCCTTGTTGCTGACTACTAGCTTCTTTTGCTGATCTCCTGCAGATGTAGAGACCCAATTAAACATGACAGATAAATAAACCATATCATATTTCTTAACTGCATTTAACAGTGACAAGATGACAGTGAAAGAGAGTTAGCATTTTCTCTAGTTACCTGAATTTTTATTTTAAAATACATGTATAAATGAATGAAATTGACATTGTGGAAGAAACTGTCTGGGGGCAATTGAAATAAGGTTGATTATTTAGAAGAAGGGAATCGGTGTATAATACAGGTTTTGTAATCACCATTTAGAAGGAAATCGACTTTGTCAGTCTTGTTGAAATTAAGTCAGCTGTGCATGCACTGCACACGGAAATGCACAGAGCTATAGTGAACTGCACACATTATAATGAATATTATATCTCGAAAGTGAAGTCCAGGGCCTGTATTCATTAAATTTTTCAATCACGACAATGTTTAACTATCTCTTATGTTTTTGCATAGAGAAAGGTCTTTGCATTGGTAAAGGGCATTGGTGGTAAGGATTTTACCCTATTAAAGGTTTAGTTGATATTCTAAGATTCTGTCTGAGTTAAGCCCCCATCATACCAAACTAGTTTTCACTACGTTCTGGAGAATGTTGCCAAACGGGCTCATACTGTGTGCAAACGAGTGAACGTAGTAACATCTGTTTAAAAATGTCTTTGAAGTTTATTGAAAACGCGGCCGAGACTTTTAAGTTTAACTCGTATTGTTTCGAAAATAAGAGTATTAAGCGAAGAGTCATCTCTTTTAGGTGCCATACAATAGTCTGCCAACTTAACTTGACAAAAACGAGCAAAGCTCACAAACAAATGTTTAACAATAACAGCACTCAACTTTCACATTATTCTACAAAATAATAACAAGCTAGATGAATTCTCAATGTAACGTGCTTTGCTATGATACATACCTATACTTCCGCATCATTACTGTCACGATGATACAACCCAACAGGATACCAATAACTGCAACAGAGAGGAACCCTATTAAACCTGGGAAAGAAATGATATTGGCATTTTTTTTTAATCAACCGCCAACATACAAAGAGCACATCAATGTGCATCGTATAAAGGAAGGAATGTTTAGGAACCGTACGAAACCCCAATTCTGATAGACCTATAACAATGTGAACATTGTACATGTATATATTAATGTTATTCGTATCGTTGTATTAAACATTTACAACAATTGCAACTAACTGGTTACTGGAAACTAGAATAATAACTGATCCTAAATAATTAAATACAATTGGAACAGACTGTGTACCTCGTAATTATAGCAGTTTTTTTCCAAATTCTCTTCATATAAAAACATCTATCACTGTCCGACAGGACCCAAAATAAATGTATTTTGTTGAACTATAAAAATGTTTCATTGAAACTCTCCATATTTATTTTCTTATATTTGTTTTATACTTCGAAGTTTATATATTGCATACTTCTAGTAAAAGCGAACAAAGAAAAAACAAATCTTTTTTACCACAAGCTGCTTTTTATAAAATAAAAACAAATCAGAAAAAAATACACAATAAGTCTGAAGAAAACCAAACAATGTTTATGTCATTTTAAAGAGGTAAAAAACTTTATGGAGATCACTATCGAACGTTTATTCGTGATGTCTGTTTGTGATGTCATTCCCCTAGTATTGAACAACATATTTTTTACATTTACATCGTCTTATATTTCAAATCTTTTTTCAAGTCCATTGTATCACTCGTCAAGTGAACATTTTCTTTCACCGACCGGTGTCAATAATACACTGGCCACGAGGGGAGAAACTTTCAATAAATGAACTTGAGGAGAATTTCAATACCTAATCGTTTTATAATCAATAAGAAATTATGTTCTGATTACGCAATAAGTGATTGTCATGCACCACGGTCATTAATAGGTAACACACAAAGCTAATTGCCTTAGGATGGTCCGTCGGGAGTGTTCGCGATCGTGTTACTGACTTATAATTAAATCCGTCCAAGACACAATGGAAATGAATGGAATATATAACATTTAGTAGAATTTAATAAAAGTTAATGATATATACATGGTAAGCATTTGTAGGCTAATATAATAACTTGAAACTGAACTGACCATATGTGGCAGGCTGGGATAGACCAATCTTACTGCCATTCGTTGTCATGGTTGTAGAGGATTCCTGGCTCAATTCTGTTAATTCAATGAATGAAGATAAATCAGGCCTTTAGTTACATGCATATCGTCAATTAATTATTTTACAACTCACTCGTATATCCTAATCAAATGATCGGTGAAACGCGGTAACATGTGATTCGTTTACTGAAACTATCCGACGGGTTTATTGTGCATGTATTGACTACAAGAAGGCATTTGATTTGGTTGACAAGAGTTCTCTTTAGAATAAAATACTTTAAAATAATGTCGATGGTAACTATTTCCATGTAATTAAGCATATGTACGCTCAGGGTAACTCATGTGTACTTTTAGGTTCAGAAAAATCTTTATTCTTTATTTGATTGTAACATTGGTGTGCGACAAGGAGAAACTTTATCTCCGATGCTATTTGCCCTTTTTATAAATGGTTCAAACAATCTATTTGCGAAAAGTCTAGAGGAGTAGATGTTCTACCTGACTGCGTATCAAAACGGTATATATGTATATCGTCCTCAGACTGTTTACAATACTGTATGCAGCTGGATGGACGATGGCTCTTCAATGAGCTCATACGCCCTTAGAGGTATATTTCTGTTTGTTTATTTCTACCGGAGTATCCAGCTACCCTCCTAATCAGACCCCTCGTGAGCTCTAAAAGAGATGTTGGTTTTAAATAGCAGCTGACAGCCCGGCCCTGGAACAGGTAGTACTGGTTTACAGGGTACCAGTAGCAGATCGACAGAACTGACGGTCAGCCCAGATGACCTGCCTTTGCAATTTACGAGTTGTGTAGGTTCGCATGGTGAAACAGACAGAAGTGTATATACATGTACAAGTTTCCCGAAGCATATTGCTTATAGTCATTGGCGTCGACTGGTGTGGACTGAAAGAAGAGTCATAACGTTTCAATAACCATTCTCTGTGTAGAGCATTAAGATTATTCTTTCCTAAATAATTATTTTCATAACTTTTGCCGAAAGATCCACACAAGTTATTTTAAGGACTACGTACACGGTGTTTTTTGAAATACAATGCAGAATTGTCTTGAAGAATTCCTTGGGATAAACAAAATCTATTTAACGGAAATAAAATTTCATATTAAACAACAATTAATTGCTAGTAATATATTAACGTTGTTGTTGCTGTTCTTGTTCTGTCTCGTTTTGTGTTGTGTTTAAACTGCAATTACCATGTCCGATGCACAAGACACCAACATCCTCCGAGTGATCACAGTCATGGGCTTCGTAGTCACTTCTTCGACAATGGCCTATGTTTGCTTCTGTACCCTCGCATTCCACTTCATCCAGAACAATAGGTCCAGGTCCTGGTCCAAAGGCAGCGCAGCAGGAGAAGTTCTCCGCCCGTTCGTAGCCGAGCATTCGGCAAACTACGTTTGCATCACTTAGGTCCCAGTTGTCATCACACACTGTCCCCCAAGTACCAAGGTATAAAATCTCAACACGGCCTTCTTTGTCAGATTTTCCGCCGACCAAACGAACCCGAAGATCATCTGAAATAATGTGACAACAATATCAAGGTAAGGGTTATTAGGTGATACGTAACGAAGTCTACGTATCACCTATTGATTTCGTCAAGATTTTTATTCCTAGTATTCTTCCTCGATTTTGTTCGCAGAATATCTCAAGACTGAATAAAGCCATTGGCATGAAACTTTCAATGATAATGGATCTTAGTCTAAATTAGAACTGCGTGACTTTTCAAAGACTCAAAGTCATTGTGACGTCATCCAGGCGCCATTTTGTGAAAATCAACTTATGATCATATCTTCATAACGGAAAGTAATTTTTCATTCATATTTATCATGAATAAGATCAATATCCGTCCGGTCAATTTCAGGTCAATAAACGTGCGCAAATTAGCGCGTGCGCGTTTGTCCGCGCGTTTACGCGCGCGCAAAAATTTAAAATGCTCTAAATCATCCCAAATTTTTTTTGCATACGTTTCAGGCCATATGGAGCATTTGACAAAAAATCACGCTCACGCGCATGCGCGCGCGTTTTTTGCGCGTACTAGCATTTTGCAACATAGTATCGCCGGATTTTCTCTATCATCTTATTTGGCACATTTTTCCAAGCATTTTGATAACTTGTTCATCTTTTAATAACGCAATGAGCGTCCGTCAAAGTTGACAGTGCGCGCGGACCTGCGTTATCTTTATCCACAATACATGAGCAAAAACATGCCTATACAAAATTCTTTGTTTCCCTTCAGAATAGATAAGAACTACCAATATTTTTTCATATTTAGATAGATTATGAGTCGTAAATATGATTTCATGTCTCATTTGACCCTCAATTAACTCATGACGTCACCATAATGTCCTCCAAACTCACAGATTTAATTTGCATGTTATGACGTCAGCAATTTTTTCAAAAATTGATTGTATCTCTGTAAATATTGATTGATTTTCTTTCAAATTTCGATATGTTCTAGCTGAAACAATTTTCTACAAATCTAGCGTCCACAATTTTTCATTTTGACAAAGGCATCATGGCGTATTTTTGCAATTAAAGGAGGCATGTCAATTCTTCACATTTTGCGTGTATTCTCTATGGGACATGACTTTTTCTCAAAACTGGATTCTACACTCTTGTCTTTCACGAGCAAAATCTCCGTTGTCTTAGCTTAGTTTTTGCTGAGCTTCGAATATGTTGTAGCTGAGACAATAATCTATCACACGTTTGCCTTTCATTTTTCGATCAGATGCCGGGATTATGCTCATATTTCACTTGCAAAGTAGGATTTGATAATTCCATTTCCCGTTTACGTGTAATCGCTATGGGAAATGTTTTGGTATATCGGTAACGCACTTGACCTCCATCCTCGAGATCCATGGTTCGAGTCCGGGTGTCTCCAACAATATTTGTCTTCACTTTATTTTTTGACCTTTCACTGTACCATCTCCTTTGAGTATTAAAACACGTAGAATCGCAAATAATGTAATAAACAACCCTATTTTCTTTATTATTACCCTATTTTCACTTAATCCATTACTTTTTGCGTTTAATCCCTATGGGAGATGACTTTTTCTCAAATGTGGATTCTACATTCCTGTGTTTTGAGCAATATCGCCGATATTTCTGCTTGGATTTTGTTGATTTTTGAGTATGTTGTAGCTGAGACAAGTTTCCACGAGATTTATGTAGACTATCTAACATTATCATGACGTTATCATAGTCAAAAATTCAATCAAAGGTGACATGTCAATTATCATATATAACAATCCTCAATCGGATACCTGAAGGGGGCGCTATACCACTTTCAATCATGGTCATCTGGAAGGCATTGTTCTCAATTGCATCTCTCTCTCTCTCTCTCCTCTCTCTTGCTCTTTTACTTCTCCTCTCATGTTCTGCCCCTCTCCTTTTTTGGTCTGTCTCTGCATCTATCTATCTCTCTTCTCTTTCACCCTCTTCCTCTCTCTCTCTCTCTCTCTTGCCTTGCGTCCCTCTTATTCTCTTGGTCTGTCTCCCTCTGCCCTACAGTTGAAACTTGACTCATGGATAGACCATAATGGGAGTAGTAAACGAAATATGAAATCGTGAAAATGCGTTCTTTATTATGTTACACATGAGCATACGTATCACCTAATTCGTCAAAGTGACGAATTAAAGTCTAGTTACATATTGTGTTCATAATTTACAGGGCTAATCCTATTGCTAACTGTATATATTTGTATGAATGTCAAATAACGTGTTCAAATTAACGCCAAAGGGCTTCCCGGGAGGTTTCATGGTAGATAAGATACAAATAAATATTAAAAAATTGGCACGCGGAATGCGCATCGGCACGGGCGTAAATCTGCAATTGATACCTATTGTTCAGGGGGGGGGGATGATCTATTCATTGATCCCTCCTGAACAATAGGTATTACGTAAGGATTTACGCCCATGCGCATCGGTATTGCGTGCGTCCCCCCCCCCTTTACTCAGTGTTATTTAGGGTACGCATATGCATGTTCCCTCCTTTTGAAATCACCCCCCTAAGTCCGGTGTTTCAAGTCAATACGGGCCGGATTTTTGTGTACTACGAGCCGGACTTTGGTGCGTAAAAAAGTACCCCTTTACCGGACATTTTGTTAACACGCATGGTATCCCTCCGTTCACGGAGTGGGAGGGGGGGGGGGGCTGTCGTCGCTTTGTATTTGGATGCCCCGTGTTTCAGATAAAAACACAAATTGTGAACACCGAGAACTGCCAGCAAATACTTAGAAAACAGCTTATAACGTACAGTAAATATAGTGCCCTCATCGTTCCCTGCGTTGAGGAGTGTTTAAAGGGTTCTAGGACACCTACCCCCTGGACATCCACCCCCTATCGGAACAACTACCCCCGGACAACTACCCCCAGACAAATACCCCCAGACAACTACCCCCTAGGACAACTCCCCCCGGACAACTTTCCCAGGGGTTAGTTGATCCGGGGTATTTCTCCGGGTGGTAATAGTCCGGGGGCAGTTGTTCTAGGGGGTAGTTGTTCAGGGGGTAGTTGTCCGGGGGACAGCTGTCCCACGGGTAGTCGTCTTAGAGGGTGGTTGCCCTAGGGGGAAGTTGTCCTAGGGGGAGTTGACTGGGGGTGGTTATCCGTCGTGTGGATGTCCAGGGGTAGGTGTCCGGATATGGTATAAAAAAAAATGCATAAGGAAAATCTTCGTAAATCAACCTGCTGTTGATAAATATTCTTTAAAAGTATGTTTTTGATATATTTTGTTTGTATCTTTGCTTTTGTGGAAGGTATGTTTACATAATCAGATTAAGTACTGGACTGCTGGACAGGACATGCTAAACATGCTTTCTACAAAATGCAGTTGTTCTGTATCTTTCTTCTTCAAATTCAAATGATTTTATTTCTCATGCAAAACATAATACAATGAATATAAAGTATATTTTTTTTAAAAAGTAATGAAACAACAAATATAAAAGAAATAGCACGAGAAAAGAGGAACTAGCTTGTAGCAGAGCTTGTTGAAGTTTTAGTTCCTCAGATGCTGTTTGACAATACAACTTGAACAAAGTATACTCAGAAAATCAATAAATATACAAAATATGTAGCAAAAAGATTATCGAATTTTAGGGGGGGAAATTAAAAGAGAGGAAAAATGGAGGAACTTGAATAGTAGAAGGTAAAAAGAAAGAAAGATACAAAACAAAAAGAAAATGTATAATTGCGAAAGCTCTAGAAGGAGGTTAGATCAGTTAAATGAGGGAGAACGAGAACTGAGTTTTAATTTAACATGGATTGTTCAAACATTATTATGAAGCCCTTGCTTGACTCCTGTTGAGTGATTTGGTGCCTCCTAGAAACGTTGGAAAAGTGGTATAATTTCTGGCATTTCAAACTTGTTTCTTGAAATCTACACTACACTTCGTCCGGCCAAGTTGTAAGTGCACCATACTCAAGTTTGCTCATCCTTGACTCTACTGACAATACAGTTTTGGACACTCCATTATCAGTTGAACAATGGATCTGCTTTGTCCTTTCATAATTGTTCTCAGCTAAGCTGTCTGCTCTATAGGTACTGAATGCAATTACGTCATATATTGGCAGGTGATGTTGACCCTAACCCGAGGCCCAGAGATCCTGGTCCTATTCACCAACAAAAACATAAGGGCGTCTTGTGAATGCTTGTAGTTTAAGCCCCAGTCCCATATAAAGCCGGACCAGCACGGACGAGCACGGACCACTCCGGACCATCCTGGACCATGGTCTGGGGTGATCCGGGATGGTCCGGGATGTTTTGTTCAAAAAAGTGTGATGCTTTTAAGCTACAGTCCCATATACGTCCCGGACCGTCCCGGACCATCCCGGACCCCATCCGGGGTGATCCGGGATTTGGTCCGTGTTGACACCGTGTTGGCACCGGGGTGGTCCTGGATGGTCCTGGATGGTCCTGGGCGGTCCTGGGCGGTCAATAACTCACTCCCGGACTGCCACGGATCAACACGGACCGCCCCGGCGCCACTACGGATGACCCCGGACCCAGCACGGTGGCTACACGGATCACCCCGGATCAAACTATTGTCCCGGCAGTTTTTGACCGTCAAAAACATCCGGGGTCGACTCCCGGACCGCCCAGGACCATCCAGGACCATCCAGGACCATCCAGGACCATCCAGGACCACCCCGGTGCCAACACGGTGTCAACACGGACCGAATCCCGGATCACCCCGGATGGGGTCCGGGATGGTCCGGGACGTTCCGGGACGTATATGGGACTGTAGCTTTAGTGAAACGCCATGAGAGAGGGTCGTAGGCTTAGCGTAGGGGTATGGTTTATTTCAGGGTTTTCTACTTCTTCTTTTTGTTGTACGTTGCTTCTATACTCGACTGTCCCCTCACTCTTGCTCATTTTAATTGTTTCGCTATTGTACACATAGGGGCGGTACGTGACTTTTAGTGTTGTTATACCTTGGGAAATCCTCTCGAAATTCTTGACTATTAAATATGGTTTAATTCTTACCCATTTTTAAGCATGAAACTCCGAGATCGTATGTATGTCCACACCTAGTGTTACCCAGATCATAATATGGATCACACTCAAGAAGACTCGATTCTTTTCCAGAGCATCTCGGCCAACGTAGTAACACTTCCCCTGTCCCACGTCCGTATGATGAGGAGGTTGAATATGCTATAGCCCCGACGAATCCTAACATTCTGCAGACCACTTCTGAGTCCAACGAGGTCCAGCTGTAATGGCAGACAGTACCCCATGACCCGAAGTAGAACAACTCAATACGACCTTGGCTCTCATCCGGTCCGTCTACGAGGCGAACCTTGAGTTTAGCTGCAAGTGGAAATCACAAAATGAACGAAATGGATTTCATTAAGATTGTTTAAATCATTATTACGAAATAAGGAAACAAAAATTACCCAAACAATGTTACAGCCATGGCTTTAGATAATAATTTGGCCAATTCATGTTAAAGCCCCAGTCCCATATAAAGCCGGACCAGCACGGACGAGCACGGACCACTCCGGACCATCCCGGACCATGGTCTGGGGTGATCCGGGATGGTCCGGGATGTTTTGTTAAAAAAAATCGCAACCGCCGACCGTCTCCCCGGACCCAACACGGTACCACTACGGACCGCCCCGGACCGTCCGGGCATAGCCCCGGCAGCAGTACAGATCATTCCAGACCCAGCACTGAGCCGCCACGGACCGTCCCGGACCACCCCGGTGCCAACACGGTGCCAACACGGATGACAGCGGACCATCCCGGTGCCAACACGGATCATCCCGTGCTGGTCCAGGGTGATCCGTTTCGCCACCGTGCTGGGTCCGGGATCATCCGTAGGGGCGCCGGGGTGATCCGGGGTCAATAACTCACTCCCGGACTGCCGCGGATCAACACGGACCGCCCCGGCGCCACTACGGATAACCCCGGACCCAGCACGGTGGCTACACGGATCACCCCGGATCAAACTATTGTCCCGGACCGTCCCGGACCACCCCGGCAGTTTTTGACCGTCAAAAACATCCGGGGTCGACTCCAGGACCGCCCAGGACCATCCAGGACCATCCAGGACCATTCAGGACCATCCAGGACCAGCCCGGTGCCAACACGGTGTCAACACGGACTGAATCCCGGATCACCCCGGATGGGGTCCGGGATGGTCCGGGACGGTCCGGGACGTATATGGGACTGTAGCTTAAGGAGGCGATAGATCGTACGCCTTACTATAGCAAGTTCCTTAAAGCTACAGTCCCATATACGTCCCGGACCGTCCCGAACCGTCCCGGACCATCCCGGACCCCATCCGGGGTGATCCGGGATTCGGTCCGTGTTGACACCGTGTTGGCACCGGGATGGGCGGTCCAGGAGTGGACCCCGGATGTTTTTGACAGTCAAAAACTGCCGGGGTGGTCCGGGACGGTCCGGGACAATAGTTTGATCCGGGGTGATCCGTGTAGCCACCGTTCTGGGTCCGGGGTCATCCGTAGTGGCGCCGGGGCGGTCCGTGTTGATCCGTGGCAGTCCGGGAGTGAGTTATTGACCCCGGATCACCCCGGCGCCCCTACGGATGATCCCGGACCATCCCGGACCATCCTTTAAGCCCATCCTTTTAAGCCCCAGTCCCATATAAAGCCGGACCAGCACGGACGAGCACGGACCACTCCGGACCATCCCGGACCATGGTCTGGGGTGATCCGGGATGGTCCGGGATGTTTTGTTCAAAAAAAGTGTGATGCTTTTAAGCTACAGTCCCATATATGTCCCGGACGCGCGTTTCCGTTTTACACCCTGCCCTAGGCTTTTCGTCAAGAAATTACACGAAACATGCTGTATCCGAAGTCTAAGTTTGTTAAAGCCCCAGTCCCATATAAAGCCGGACCAGCACGGACGAGCACGGACCACTCCGGACCATCCCGGACCATGGTCTGGGGTGATCCGGGATGGTCCGGGATGTTTTGTTCAAAAAAGTGTCATGCTTTAAAAGCTACAGTCCCATATACGTCCCGGACCATCCCGGACCCCATCCGGGGGGATCCGGGATTCGGTCCGTGTTGACACCGTGTTGGCACCGGGGTGGTCCTGGATGGTCCTGGATGGTCCTGGATGGTCCTGGATAGTCCTGGGCGGTCAATAACTCACTCCCGGACTGCCACGGATCAACACGGACCGCCCCGGCGCCACTACGGATGACCCCGGACCCAGCACGGTGGCTACACGGATCACCCCGGATCAAACTATTGTCCCGGACCGTCCCGGACCACTCCGGCAGTTTTTGACAGTCAAAAACATCCGGGGTCGACTCCCGGACCGCCCAGGACCATCCAGGACCATCCAGGACCATCCAGGACCATCCAGGACCACCCCGGTGCCAACACGGTGTCAACACGGACCGTATCCCGGATCACCCCGGATGGGGTCCGGGATGGTCCGGGACGGTCCGGGACGTATATGGGACTGTAGCTTAATATCGACGTCAAGAATAGCGAAGCCAAAGCTTATGTACAATTTCAATTGGGGATGCGAGGGTCTTCTTGTTCAAGACGGTTTTCCCGATATATTATTGTTTTGTTATCGCTGGGCTAAATTTTGCGAGCTGATCACGCATCCTCACGCTCTTAGAGTATTGCGTATTAATGGATAAAAATAAATGATACGACTAGGAAGATCAACTAGTATAGAGAGTTAGCTAGCGCTACGTGACGTTTTCAGAGTTCTGGTGGTGTGCAGAGCGCCGAGGCAAGATGTGGACGACTAGACTCCGAATACCAGTCGGTTTGTAAAATTTTATTGGAGAAAAGCCTAGGGCAGGGTGTAAAACGGAAACGCGCGTCCCGGACCGTCCCGGACCATCCCGGACCCCATCCGGGGTGATCCTGGACCGCCCCGGCGCCACTACGGATGACCCCGGACCCAGCACGGTGGCTACACGGATCACCCCGGATCAAACTATTGTCCCGGACCGTCCCGGACCACCCCGGCAGTTTTTGACCGTCAAAAACATCCGGGGTCGACTCCCGGACCGCCCAGGACCATCCAGGACCATCCAGGACCATCCAGGACCACCCCGGTGCCAACACGGTGTCAACACGGACCGAATCCCGGATCACCCCGGATGGGGTCCGGGATGGTCCGGGACGGTCCGGGACGTATATGGGACTGTAGCTCAAGCTACAGTCCCATATACGTCCCGTCCCGTGTTGGCACCGGGGTGGTCCTAGATGGTCCTGGATGGTCCTGGATGGTCCTGGATGGTCCCGGGCGGTCCGGGAGTCGACCCCGGATGTTTTTGACGGTCAAAAACTGCCGGGGTGGTCCGGGACGGTCCGGGACAATAGTTTGATCCGGGGTGATCCGTGTAGCCACCGTGCTGGGTCCGGGGTCATCCGTAGTGGCGCCGGGGCGGTCCGTGTTGATCCGTGGCAGTCCGGGAGTGAGTTATTGACCGCCCAGGACCATCCAGGACCATCCAGGACCATCCAGGACCATCCAGGACCACCCCGGTGCCAACACGGTGTCAACACGGACCGAATCCCGGATCACCCCGGATGGGGTCCGGGATGGTCCGGGACGGTCCGGGACGTATATGGGACTGTAGCTTTTAAAGCATCACACTTTTTTGAACAAAACATCCCGGACCATCCCGGATCACCCCAGACCATGGTCCGGGATGGTCCGGAGTGGTCCGTGCTCGTCCGTGCTGGTCCGGCTTTATATGGGACTGGGGCTTTAAGCAATAACATTAGGATGATGGTATACAAAATATAATCACAATTGAAATTAAACCTGCGAAGTAGAAAATGATGAATTTCGTGCTTTTAAGTATATGATTCACAAGCATTTTCTTTCAGTAGCCGCTTTAAAAAATATAGACAAGTCATTTTCATGCGATTGCATTATGAAAGAAACGTTGGGGAATCGATCAGAAAAATTTGATCATCTAGCATATAAGTATTGGTGTGTACTGCAAGGTTCTGGAAACATCAACATGATAACAAATTTGGCCCATTCTTGGTAAGGTTACATGCACTGTACACATACAGATGTATATGGCACTGGTTTTTTTTAACATATACCAAATGTGTCCACAAAAGGGTCAAAAATGAAATTATGTTTGCTTACTTCAAACGTGTATTTTTAGGATCAGGACTATTCATATTTATGAGAAATGCAAATTTTGGAGCTTAATCTATGTCCTTATTTATTCACCAGATATGAATACTATGAGTTCTTACAATTTTATTGTGAACTATAGCATATCTAATAACTGTGATATAAAACTCATTTACTATTAACTACACCTTTAAATATGTTGGGTCTTTAAGAATATGTTTCAGAGATTATTCATGCAAATTTTTGAGTTTCTATCTTAAAAAATACAGATTATGTATACCTTGAAAGTGAAAAATAGCTCTAAATTTGGGTTTTGACAATAACAAGTTTTAATTTCAATAGGTAAAATACTTTTTCATAGGTCAAACTTATTTTATTATAACAACTGATGATATAAGGTAAATACATGCCAAAAAAATTGGGAACCAGTGCATTGCATAATAATTTTCATATGTCACACCACTGATGTTTCGGACGTTACACACTGTTAACATCATAACTTTATCCAAGTTAATTGCTTTTCTTTAGGTATTATTGACCTCATTTACATTAATTGTTTGCAGAATAATACCTCTGTAACATTTATTGATTTTTTTCTTCAGTTTTAATTAGTTTAGCACATACCGTACATGTATACCAAGTTTGTCTTCATCGACCACTCAATTTATAAGGTATTTGTAAGGTATATTATTCATTTCAAGAACGTGTACCGGTATTTAAAAGTGCTTATGTGATCCAACAGTGAAATATGAAGCTAATAGCAATTGTCGTCATCAAAACTCCTTAGAAAATTCACTTAGAAACATACTCTTTATTGCATGTTATGAACAACAGTGTGAAATGTACATGCATGCTATGTTTTGTTTCGGATGTTACACAATGTTAACATTTCAATGAGATCATCAATTTCTATAAACTCTACAATAGATGTTTAATCAGCTTGCTAATGTCCTTCAACTATATAGTGTGTCATTCAATAATATCACTAACACATACATGTATGTAAGCAAAACATTGACAAATCTTTTTAAAAGTAAAACTATGAAAAAGTACCCCCAGTCCTGTAAGTAATAAGAAATAGGTGAATCCTAATTTATGTACATCTCAAGAATGAGACATTTCAGATGTATTTTCAAATTGTGTATGTTTTAGGTTATAATACTACTGTAGTAACAATCATCCTTTACCACTATTTGTATTAGTAGGCTGTTTCAAACGACAACATTTTGTAATGCTCTTAAATAAGTATTTATTTATTTATTTACTTGATGACCGATTGATGAATGGATGGATTGATTGGTTGGTTGGTTGGTTGGTTGGTTGGTTGGTTGGTTGGTTGATAGATCTTAACTCTTGCTGTGCCGATATCACAGGTGACAAACAGTATACAGTGTAGGTTAAACATGTACCGTATTTACCGGCGATAAGGCCGCAGCGCCGCACCCCCAACTTTGACATTTCGTAGAGGGAAAATAAAAACGGACAGCCCATTTATATTTTACACTAGCTTATACATTTTGTATGTATGCATACATTTGAGGAAGATACTACCAGTGGTGGATCCAGGGGGGGGGGGGCTCAGGGGGCATGTACCCCCCCCCCCCCCGGCCAAAACAAAAATGTTGAAATCAGCCCCAAATTCGCCCAAAATGTACTGGCAAACAGGGACGTGCCCCCCTTCCCCCGGGCCCCCCAAAATAAAAAATAAAATAAATTAGTCCGTACTCCTCCCCCACCCGCCCCACTGAGCGAATTTGCGGCCAGCGCGATTTTCAAATATTTGGGAGCAAAAAACAAAAAAAATAAATGTGCTCTTACCAATCCCCCCCCCCCCCCCCCCGCTTATTCAGCGGCTGGCTGAGTCGTTGCGATTTTTTGGGACCAATACAAAAATATTTATATGTCCTCTCACCCCCCCCCCCCCCCCCCTGCGCCCCCCCCCCCCCCCCCCCGGGAAGAAATTCCTGGATCCGTCCCTGACTATATGTTTAGGATCATGAAATAAGTTATTAATGTTATGTCTTATTCTTTTATAGAGGTATGTACTTTCTACATAGATTAGTTACGTGTACTGAGTGCCCTTTTTAAAAGGTATTTTCAAATGAATATCCATATTTCCCATAAACTTTTAGACAAACATTTTAATTTGCTTGATTTTATCAACTGTATGTACGTGTATCAATACCCGTGTCATGTACATATACACTGGGTATTGCTTAAGTGGGTGATTTTGAGCTTTTGTAACCTACCAAATAGTTTAGATTGACCATACAATCTTTGGTTATATGACATAATTTGAAACAACCTCTGTAAAAATGAAAACCTGATGATTTGCAAATACACAGCAATGTAAATAGCAAGAGGAGAGGTTGAAAAATTGAAATTTGCTATTTTCACATCTATCTTTGCCCCTCATTTGAACTAGTTAAAGTATGAAAATGTCTGTTAACAGTTTAATGTAACGTCCGAAACGTGCTAACAGCATACCAGAAAGTGCTGTTAAAATGGCTGAATATTTTTTATGAGTCACTTTTATTGAGATTTTTTCTGATAAATTACAATTAAGGATATACTAAAGCAGCCAGCCATGCCTTGCATCACAATGTGTGGCTTCAATATTTGATGTTTTATAAGTCAATTTGCAGAAAATTCAGATATTTTACGGAAAATTTCATTTTTTGCATCATATTTCTTCATATTCTTATATTTAGATCTAAATGAAATTCTCAAAATAGTGTTTTTAACAGGAGTGTGCATTGTGAAACCGTTACTTGCACATATGATCGATAATTAGTTGAAATTTGCAAACTATGTGTTAACAATCAAATAGTGTAACGTCCGAAACACCCTTCTTGAGCTTACACAAAATTATTGGATTTGAAAGACCTGATTTGTGTCTTGACTTATGTTAAGACTTATAATAACACATTTCATAATGATTTATTCATTCCAGATACCCTCAAATATGGATTATCATCATTTATTTGGTATTTTTTGTTTCGGACGTTACATTTGTTTCGGACGTTACAACTGTTAACGGAAAATTGGTTTTAACTATAAAATAGTATTGTAATGATGTATTGCAAATTTCTTTTTCGGGGTGGGTAGCCGCCATGAAATGTTTAACAAATGTTACAAGAAAAAGGTCGTGCAGTTCATATATTTTTTTGCTACTTCAAATTGAAAGTTGTTTCGGACGTTACAAAATTGTTTACGGAAAATGAGACAACTTTTTCAAATTTTGAGTATATTTCTAGTATAAGCGGTACTACAATTAAATTATATTTTCTTTTAATTTAATGACTTGGAGTAACTAATAAGCTTATTCAAACCATAAACAATCTCATTAATTTATTGTTCTAGTGGATTAAATGAGGGTCTACATTGTTTACGGAAGATGTAACGTCCGAAACACCATTTTCAATTGCACTGTTCCATCAAAATACAGGAGTTAATTCAGATTACTGTTAACTTTCTTTAAGATCCACCCATGCTCATTAATCATCAATAGAAAAAAAAACATATTGTTAGTGGGTATATATTTTTTTCGGCTCCAACCAAAAAGGTATGTCAATTTTGTTACAAAATTCCGTAAACAATTGGCTGTTCAGGGATAGCCGATGCACATAAAGCAATGTTGAAAATTTTTCATTAAGCTATGGGAGGTCAATCTAGGTCCATGCTACAAGAAAAAATTGTAATTGATTTCTAATTCTTTATCTTTGAAAAGTTTCAGGCTCTCAAAGGGCCATTTAGGTATTTGGTCATAGTTAAAAAAAACCAGTGCCATATGGGACTACCCTATATCTATCCAGTCCGGATAGATATAATAATTTACCAAATATCAAAATAAATCAAATCAATTCTGGTTTATTGTAAATAAAAACATACTAAATAAAAAATCCGGAGACTCATACAATTCAGTTTATAAATTATAAATACATACAAGAATAAAGAAATCAATACTTTTAGCAATCTTTATATTATTAATGATTCTAATGAACTAAACAACTGATATATATCAATTAGTAGGCAGTTTCCCTTTCAAGTTTGTACTATCACGTAGTGGTCAAAACTTATTCTTTCACATGATTGATAATTAGAGTTTCCATTTCATTTTTTTTTTTGAGAGGGGGGCGTTTCCAAAACTGGTCTTTACCTTGAAAGATTAATTAGAGTTTTGGTCATGCGATTGCATTGTGAAAAAAACGGTGTGGAACCGATCAAAATAAGTTGATCGTGTAGCATATAAATATTGATGTGTACTTCATGGTGGTGTGTACCGCAAGGTTCTGGAATCATTAACATGATAAGAAATTTGGCCCAGCCTTGATAAAAGTAACAAGCACTGTAGTACTGTACACAGAAAGATGTTTATGGGACTACAAAACAAGAGGCATAAAAACGTGTTCCTTATTTTTAAGCTGTTACATGTCATATTTAAAATATGAAGGTATTTGAAGAGCCATGCTTTTCAGGAAAAATTTGTCTCTGATGTTTTTTTTTTCACCTATCCAGAACTCAACCTTCTCTTTAAGTCGCCGCCTTTAATACGGGGAAGATTTTAAATGCACGTTTTTACTTTCCTTTTTTTTTTAAATTGATAGTCACGTTTTCGTAAATTGTAAGTTTACCTGCTCCGCTGCATATAATACCAACGTCTCTAGAATGATCACAGTTGTGGATCCCATAGCCGCCATGTGTGCATTGTGCGATGTGCGTTTCTGACCCTTCACATTCGACGTCGTCGAGGAAGATATCCCCTGTGGTTTCTCCGAAGCGCACCAATGCATAAGAGACTCCAGGGTAACCTAGCATTCGACAAACAACGGTAGCGTCGTTGATATCCCAAGAGTCATCACAGATTGTACCCCATGTTCCTTGGTAGTTCACCTCGACTCGCCCTTCATTGGGCGAAGCCCCATCAACAAGACGCACAGGAACTGATATAAAGAAAATAATGGTGTATATACAGTATGTGGTCTGAATGTGGCCGATCTGGCAACAAAAAATATAGAAAGATACATTATCAAATATATAAGACCAACTTTTGTAGGAAAATACCTTAAAAGAAAGCAGCAAAATTACAGAAACAGATTGGTGAAAGTTTAAATGAAATTGGACAAACAATAACAAGTTAAGATTTTTTTTTTAAATCAGTAATTGCTATACGTATAGGCATATTAAATTGGTTGAATCGACCCGACCCGTTTCAACACTCAAAATAACCAGCCTTTCAATTTCTCAAAATGCACATTTTTTGTGCACATCCTTCTTCACATTTACCTTACCATCCCGGTTACAACGGCAACTTGCGAGAGAACATTCTCTGTCTTGAAACGGATCAAAACTTATCTGATAAGTACAATGACCCAAAGAAAGCTCAACCAAAGCTTAATATTACACATATATAAATCTCGTACAGATAAACTGGACTTGAAAACTATTGCCCAAAACTTTGTTTCCAGGAACACAAGAAGACAAAACTTCTTTGGCACATTTGTCTGAGCCTGCATGTGCTCCTCAAAAGAAGAAAAGTCTGAAATTTTTCGCCGCGATGACATAAACGAGGAACAAAGAATTTATTTCCAGGTTCAAATTAAAGACAAAGGAGGATCTCAGAATTATATTTTTTGGGTGGTGCCACATTTCAGTTTTTAAATATGTCCGATTATAGGCATGTGTGACAATAAAAGTTGTTTTTCACGTTCCTGGAGTATTATTTTTCCAAAGGTATTTAATGTGTGTTACTCTAACACCTATACTTTGTCTAACTTAATACAAATAAACTGAATATCTTACAATTCAACGATTTCTTCAAGTAGGCCAACTTTCATTAATTTTTTCAACTGCTTAAAAGTAAGGCTACAAATGCTTTTTTATTGTAGAGCTGCAGTGTGAACAGGCTACTTTAATTCACATTTATAGATTAGTGCACATAATTATGCTTGATCATTCTCTCCTATCTGTTTGTTTTCATTCCTCTGTTCTTCATCCTTTATTTTTTACCTATGATATTTGAATATTTATTATTTCCTTATATTATATTAAATGAACATGTAAATACCTATATATGCAAAATAAACCCTGGAGGTTTAAAGTTGTAAAGCCCAGGGCAGTTCAACACACGCAATCATGAAATAAGGGTGTTTCTGTAAGTTTAGAACCACGCCATGTGCCTACCCGCTCAGACCACTCTACATTCAGGAGCGTCGCTAAAGGGGGGGGTGTGTTGGGTTGAAGTCGGTGGGATTTTTTATGTCGGTCGGCCAGCAATTTTTTCCTCTTCGAACTGTGACTTTTTATCGGAAAAAGAAACATTTTTTAAAATGATTTAGAGTCGGTACAATGAATCGTCTTCTTTTTCTAATAATTTAATGAAACGTCGAAGCTTCCGCGCTTCGCGCGAGAGGGGGAGAAACTGAATTCAGACAATTAGGGTTAAGAGTAGAGAACAGTATACAACAAATCGTCTTCTATCTATAATAATTTAATGAAACGTCTAAGCTTCCGCGCTTCGCGGGGGATGGGGAAACTGAATTCAAACAGGGATTAAGAGTCTAAAATAAGATCCTAGCTACACGCCTGCATTCAAATATATAGCTATGATGCTTACTAAGTTGACAAAATAATTGGTATTATGTCGTCGACGAAAATGACCATTTGCGCATAACAATTTAGCCTTCGGCACCGGGTTTATAGGGTTAAATTTGTAGATATTGGAACATTTAATTGGTAATTGGTGGCTTGTTTTGTCGGTAATCGTTGGCCTCTATATCCCCCCCCCCCCCCCCCCCCACTGAAAAAGGTCTAGCGACGCCCCTAAGGACACATCAGGCCTATACTTGCATTTTGGGAGAGGCTTAAGTATCCGGGCCAGTTATTATAGTTGAGTAAGTTTTGAGGAAAAAACAAAACGAGTACTCGCTCTCCAATCGTATTGGTTATTTGGTAATTCGAATGTTATCCAATATGTTTTTTTCCTTTTAACACAATAATTGTTTTGCGACTCAATTTAGGCCTGACTAAATATAAACTTTTTTCGTGAGGCAACAGACAAGTAATTTAGTCATATACCTGATTAACATTTGAATATTTCCTACACTAGTGCCTGGCCGTGTGTGTCCCATATTTAAACATTAAGTTGCACCTGAAATTGCAACATGTGCATTATAAGCTCCAAACGCTTTATTTCATACAAATACACCAACAAACAAATCCCAAAAGCTTGAATGCATACTATTTCACAAAATGTAATTAAACAATATTAATGATATTAATGATACACTTACATGTAAATGCAAATGCATTATCATTTTTGCGCTTCTTGCTGCCAGCAAGATAGTTTCCTTTTGCATTTAATTTTGTTGCTATTATGAGTTCATATTCATATTTTTGTTATCAAACAGGAATAAATAAATGAATATATAAATATATCTGTTCAATGATAGTTGTACAATGATGACAGAAGAACCAATGAAAATCGCAACTGATCTTCCCTAATTCTTTCCCCCTTTTCTTTTCTTCCTCTTTGTTTTCTGTCCCTTTCTCTCCTCTTTCCCTTTAACTTCCCTTCCTTCTCTCTCTCTCTCTCTCTCTCTCTCTTTCTCTCTTTCTCTCTCTCCCTCTCTCTTTGCTGGGGGGGGGGGGTACAAATCGGGAAAAATTGCAACTGATCTCCCCTACCTTTCTTCTTCCTCTTTTCCCCCCTTTCCCTTCCCTTACTTCTCTCTCTCTCTCTCTCATTAAAGTTTGCTGAGGGAGACAGGGGTCTTTTGCCCCCTCCCCCGATCCCCAACTTGTTGGCGGGAAAACTGCAACTGATATCCTCCTTCTTTTCTTCCCTTACCTTTGTCTCCTCTTTTCCCTTTTTTCTTTCCCTTCTCTTCCTTCTCTCTTTCTTTTTGCTGGGGGGGGGGGGCAAAAGCCTGGGAGGCAAAGCCCTTTCGCACTCCCCCCGATCTCCTTATTTCACCTTTTCTTTTCTCCTTCCTTTCCTTTTGTCTCTTCTTTCCCTTTCCCTTATTTTACCTTCCTTCTCTCTCTCGCTCTCTCTCTCTCTCTCTCTCTTTTGCTGAGGGGGGGGGGTGGCGAAGGCCGGATCTTCTTCTTTCCCCCTTATCTTTTCTTCTTCCTCTTCTTCCTTTCCCTTACTCCCCGCTTTACCTTTCTCTCCTTCTCTCTCTCTCTCTCTCTCTCTCTCTTCATTTTTTGTTGGCGGTTGGGGGTCAAGGCCCTCTCGCCCCCCCCCCCCCTCAATCCGAGCCGGGAAGACCTGTAGTGTCATCTCTAGCTAGCTGGCAAAGCTGAAAATTATGGGTTATCCAGTCGTTTCATTCATTAAGTATAATTATACTTGTATTGACTATGTATACGTGTGGACTAGAGTACGGACATTCGGTGCGGCAGGCGGGCCATTGGTGCGAGACCTCTTCCGCACACATTGTCCGTCAGACATTTGAGGCGCGCACGAAATGTCCGACACGGATCGACACGGACCGATCGTCCGCTCTCGATCGATCTCTAATACTAGGACGATCGGTGCGGGTAACATTCTACGCGGTCACACCGGCAAACGGTCGTAGCGCTATAGAGTGACTTTAGGTTTAAGGAAGTGAAGACGGAAACAGCAAAGTTGAACGAGCTCTTACCAGCGGAACTTGTTTGGCTAGGCCGGGGGAATTAAGTACACAGTGGGATCCCTTACTCTCAAATAGTGAGATTGCATCAGGTTCAAAACACCTGTCCAAGGCTGATCTGTGGTTGTTCCAAGTTCACCCCAATTTTAAGATATCTACATTGGTTACCAGTACGCAGGCGCGGATCTAGGATTTCTTAGGGGGGGGGGGGGCTAATCTGAAATCAATTTGAAATTTAGTGTGCTGAAATTTGAAAATCGTGCCGTCAAATATTTCGCTCAGTGGGGGGGGGGGGGGGGGGGGGGGGGGGGGAGTGAGCGGGACCCATCTCCAAAAAAAGATAAAATTAACACGTTTTTACACGTTTTTCCCCAGGGAGGGGGGGGGGGGCGGGCACCCGGGCCCCCTGGATCCGCCACTGCCAGTACACCAGAGAATAACATGCAAAATCTTGCTGATTGTATATAAAGCCTTCTTGGTCAAGCTCCCACTTATATCAAAGAACTGTTGAATTTCAAACTTAATTAACAGTTCCCGAGATACTTTGTTGCTGCAGATCCCATCTATCAAAAGAAAAAATAACGCTAGGTGATCGAGCATTTGCTTGTGCGGCCCAAAAACTCTGGAATAACTTGCCAGGAAATCACTATCTGTAAATTTCTTTAAATTAAAACTGAAAATACATCTGTTTAATTAACTGTGAATCTAAGTATATCAGGAGCTCTTGTAGCGCAGTAGAATAGTAAAGAGTGAAAGGGTTAAATTGGAGATGGACCTAGAGACTAGCTAAGAAATGGCAATGAGGTGTATACAGTGATTCTTGTGGGATGTTGGTTATAGCTCAAATGCTGACCCGTGACAGAAATTTCCACATGACTGAGGAATCATCTCAACAGTTTAAGCTTGAGATTGTACGATCTCTTCTTAGTATGTTGGCCATGTTTCTATATTACAATTAGACTATAGTTTGATGAGGAACAAACTGCTATATATGGATTGTGAATAGAGTTTATAATTATTAGAAAACTTTTGCTGAAGATATATGATTTTACCCTGTTAGTATATTGACGTTTTTTAGTAGTTATTTATGTATACATGTATTTGTTCAGTTACAGAGTGTGTTTAAAAGACAAGTTAAACTGAGTAAGAATAATCATAAATCGACTATAAGAGGATGAAGTCCTTCCATGATTATGTAAATAGTAATTGTAACTTCACGTATTGCCTTGAAACGAACTCTTAATAAATCATTGTTGCTGATTTCCATACACATTGACTGACCATTGTTCTCTCTCTTTTCATTTCAATTTACAGTTTTTACGCCCTCCCATCGAGGGAGCGGTAACAGTACTATCTACACAGTGTAACGAACTTTTCTTCTCCTACCAATGATGGGCGAACTTTCTTTCATCACGTGATTTACTTTTGACCAATCTTAGAGCAAGATTCTTAGTATTTGGAATATAATATTATTTATTATTATTTTTATTAGTAGTTTTATTGTTATTTTATTACTATTCTTTAAAGGTACTATGTCCCTTTTGCAGGCCAAAAAATGTAAAGGTTAAATTCCAATGGCATTTGAAAGATGATACTAATTTAGAACTCCCCTTAAAAAATGGGGCTTGAAAATGTCTTTAAGTGGGAAATAACGACTATTAGTAAGTATAGCACACCAAAAATAAGTACAACAAACACATCTTATTTGATGATTGCAAATGATCAAGCTTTATGAAAGCTTCAAAAAACAAAAAACAGAATTGAAATCGGTCAATGCGTTGTGATACCATTATACCATTTGTTTTTATATCGCAAAATTACCGAAAAACCTGCCAGAAATGGTCAAATTGGCAAAAATGGTAAAATTCGACAAAGTTGACAACTTAATCTATCACTTTCTTGGACACAAATAATTAATTAAATTATTAGACACTAAAATATCATCTTTGTGGTAAAAAATACAAAAAAGAAATTTCATATATCTATTACCGTTTTGAAAACAGAAGCAAACAAAATAAGTCATTTTTGCCATTTGTGTGAATCTGAAGTCCGTCTAATTAATATGCGCATATGTAATCAAATCAAAACCGAACATGATACGTCAATGAAACCTATGTATATCAGACAGGTATGGATTTTTTTTTTTTTTTTGAAGAAAAAAAAGTTATGAATATTCTTCAAATATGCAAATTAGGTCATTTCAGCTAATCATATATATATATAGGAAAGTCAAATTGTTCATTTTGTTGGCATTTTTTTAAATCATATATTTATAAATCATATTTACACTAAATGTTAACATTAAATTCCAAATATTTTTGCAATGCCAATAAAATAAGGCGATGGAAATTACTTGGATCACCGTTACAGCTATTTCCTCATATGTTTCACAAATTATTCAGAAAAACCGAACTAATGATAAGAATTTGCAGACTTTCAGCTACATCACAGTATAGTGTTTTTTTTTAAATGTCAGATTTGAGGATTTATGACGATTTTCCGAGAAACCATTCAATTCAACAGGCCATAACATTCCACAGGGACTAAATTTTAGAAAAAAAAACAAAATTTGGTGACCTTAGTATAGTTGTGGCTACCTTAAGTGTAAAAAAACAAATTGATTCAATGAGTGAAACATATGAGGATATTGCATTTTTGTAGGGGAGTTTTATACATTGAAGTGCATTTTCACCACGCAGAATAACAGTCAATGGGCGTTCAGCGGGTCATGTCACACATGGCTGAAAAGACAATATTCTAATTAATAATTTAACATTTTTCCCACATGCCTATAACAATGAAACTACACAGAATTGTAGTTAAAGGTGTATTTGAAAGATATGTGAAATAAAAATTTAAAAAATATTGTTCAGTTTTTTTTTAAATAAATTTACGAAAATTGCTATTTCTACCAACTGACTGCTGCTGTGTGTGTGTGTGTATGTGCATGGGGCAGACTGTGTGCACAGGCAGTGTGATCACCCTACTATTAGTTGTCAAGTCGACTTAGGAGCTATAGAGCCAATAAGTAATATTCTTGATTTTCAGACCATAGTGCCGCATGATCGTACGTTTTATGCTGCGCAAAGGTTCAATCAGTTAAATTTTGGCCATTACAAGAAGTGGGTTATTGATGTAGACAAATACTTTACAGCTTTGTTATGTATGTTATTACCAAAGAAGAAAAAAAAAGCCAGTCGGTCATTAAATACTGACAATAGTGTCTGACAGTGAAGTCTAGCAAGTAAACGGATTTCATGCATAATTTGAATATTAGGACACTGCTAACGTTTAAATTTCACAGATAGGACATACATGACATATTCATAATTCCTGCAAAGTTCTACAGAATTTGAGGTTGGCTGCAAAAGGGACATAGTATCTTTAATACTATTGTTATTAATAGTTTTAGTATTATCATTCTTACGTTTGATGCACGTTACTCCTACGTCTTCACTGTGTACACAGCCGTGTATTCCAAATGGATTCTGCATACAATGTCCAATCGTCACTTCCTCTCCCGTACATTGGAGATTATCCACGAAAATGTCACCAGTTCCTGGGCCAAATGCCGCACAGCACGAAAAGGACTCCGCGAAGGTATAACCTAGCATTCTGCAAACTACATGCGCATCAGTCAGATCAAAGCCATCGTCGCAAACAGAACCATATGATCCTTGATAGCGGACCTCGACCCGACCTTCTCTACTGCTGCTCCCGTTTGTCAAATAGACGTCCACTTTTGTAGATAAAAGAAAAAGAAAAGTGATTAGGAAATGAGAGGAGAGAGAGTGGAGAAGGGATGGGGGAGCATTGTAAAGCAATATTAAAATAGGCTACCATACGAGTAAGAGTTAAATCAAATCATTGATAAATGTCTTATTATTTGTAGGCCTACCGAAACATAGGGCTATTTCACTTCGAAAAGTGTTGTAGTTCAAACAGGTGATGCATATCTGTAGTGGGTGGGTTTCGTTCAAAGTTATTCCCTTCGAAAAAAAAAAAACATGTATACACTTACCAATGCCGTCACAAGTGACTCCTGCATCTTGACGATGCTCACAGTTGTGAGATAGGTAACCGTTGTGTTGACAAAAGGCGATGTTTGACTCAGATCCCGTGCAATTCACATTATCCAGGATAATTTCCCCTATGCCTTCGCCAAAGAATGCGTTGGTGTAATAAGCAGAAGCACGTGGATATCCCAATGTATGACAAACGACGTGGGCGTCATCTAAATCCCAGTCATCGGCACACACTGTACCCAATACACCTTGGTAGTCAACATGTACTGTCCCTTCAAAGGATCCTCTCCCAAAAAACAAATAGGTCCGTAGAGGTTCTGTTAATTTTAAACAACAGTTATTAACATTAGCATGTGCATCAAATTATTATCTCTTTTGAATACACCGGTCACACCAAGGAGACCTACACCAGACCGAAATAAGGACCAAACAAAAAATTGCAAAGCCTCAAATAACCGAGAATCGGTCGGTTTGGTGTCGTTTCGTCGGTGTGACTGGATAGTATCCATCAGGGTCACTTTCCAGTTTAACCTCGTATGGTCACTCACATATTATCGGACTAATAAGTCAAAGGCAGTTTATACTCGGAATAAAGAAGAATGATACACATTAAAATTTCAATGAATTCTGCATGAGTTGTCCTTGAATTCACTTTAAATGTTACCAGCATCCCCTTGTTTTCCAGCATGACTAGCGACATACAGCCTTTTCACACACAGCTAAAATTCTATAAACATGATTAGTATAAACGTGTTTGAAACGTGTTTAAACTAATCACGAGCCTTTCACACACAGAAATTTCGTTGCGATCGTTAATAGTTTCGTGATTAACTACTGCTCGTAAAATGTGCAGTAGTGCCATTGCGCATTAAAGGTCAGGTCATATCAAACAGAGCGGTCGCTCCATCCAGTTTAAACACGTTTAAACACGAAAAACCTTTCACACAAAAAATTTCAAGCTCTCTAGATACGAACTTCGTATCGGCAACCTGCTTTTAGGGGCGTATGCATCGCGACTTCGTATCTATCCCAACATCGTATAAACGATGTTCACACTGGGAAAATTTTCTATAAACATGTTTAAAACTGTTGAGTTAAACACGTTGATACTAATCATCTCTGGAAACGATGAATTTTAGCTGTGTGTGAAAAGGTTTGCATTATTTAATCAGTGTTTCTGGATATAGTCCCTAGAGATTCAATCATACATAGTATGTCCTCCAGAGGTGGTCTAGAGGTACAACTAAAATGGTGACCTTTGACATGCCATAGGTATTGCATCGGATGCATTATGGGAGCTTTGTCCAATTTGAATGACGATTTTGGAAGGTCAATGGATAGTAATGAGAAATGACGTCAACAATTTTCCAATTGCTGTTTGGTGATTGGCTATTAACAAAATGTTTTATGTATTAGATCATATAAAAAAACATATTTTCATTGCCACAATCCCCTACCTTTTTTCTTTGTCTGACCAAATGGTATTTACTGATTGAATAAACTATAATTTAATTCGTCGACGTTAAATTATCTAGAAACAATCACAAGTTTTATCATAGATTATTCCATTTGTACACCTCTCACACTTTTAAAGTCTCAGTTCATAGCTTCGTTATCGACGGCGGTAAGCAGTGGTAGATGTGGACTTGCTACAGAGACTGCGCGAATGTCTCATTGCGATTCCAAGACGACGGGATTTTCTCGAACGGACGATGATTTTTATTTTGCCGATGCTAGCCGGCTGTAACAACCAACAAGAAGTGACTGCGTTTCCTGAGCTAGCTGACGCGGCTGTGACTTACTTAGCCTACACTTTAGTGTAAGATCTAGAATATAGCTTATAGTCTAGATCTAATACTACACTGTCGCTCATAAAGGTGGAATATTTTTATTTATCCGCATTTATGGAATTATTTTAAAAATAATTTAAAAATACTAGATCTAGATAATAGTATACATTCTCAGATTTTATTGAACAATGATTTGCCAATGTGTGTTTTGCGTGACTGCTAAATCATGTATATGCTACTATGCTTATCAACTAGGGGAGTACAACAGTAATGAGGATTAATGCCCCACAAAAGGGCCCTTATATAGCACATCGACACGGTTTTGATCCTGGGGCCTCACAGTTACGAGGCCATTGCTTTGTCATTGAACCATGACTGTACGCAGCGGGGGCTAGGGTAGGGGGCAGTTTCCATAAATTTAAAAAAAAACGAAAATGCAATAAATTTTCAATAATTTATTGCATTTTACCCCGGTTCCCAACATAAACAAATCCTCTGGACGGCCTTGCATTATGGCTCAAGGCATGGGCACACAGAAGATTTTTTTATGTTGGGGACCGGGGTAGAATGCAATAAATTATTGAAAATTTATTGCCTTTTCTGTGTTTTTTTTAATTTATGGAAACTGCCCCCTACCCTAGCCCCCGCTGGGTACAGTCATGGTTCAGTGACAAAGCAATGGCCTCGTAACTGTGAGGCCCCAGGATCAACACCGTGTCGATGTTCTATCTTAGTGCCCTTTTGTGGGGCATTAATCCTCATTACTGTCATTTATGACTTAAGGGCATAGGTCCCCTAGTTGATAAACATAGCAGCATATATACATGCTTTAGCAGTCACGCAAAACACACATTGGCAAATCATTATTCAATAAAATCTGATAATGTATACTATTATCTAGATCTAGTATTTTAAAATTATTTTTAAAATAATTCCATCAATTAGGATAACAAAAAATATTCCACCGTTTTGAGCGACAGTGTAAAATGTACGCTGAATCTGGACCTGGATCACTATGACTATGTCATTATGAAACTACATGTAAACAGCATTTATCCCCTCATAGTAATGATATATTTTTAATGTAATAATTTCATTCAATATAATTTGACCTAATCTGTCCCATAACAGACACACCTGCAAGTTTACTTTTGTCAGTCTATGGATATCATTTTAACAAATGCATTATAATTATTTCCTCTCTCTCTTTGTTGTTAAAGATTATATTTACTTGCAAAATTGGTTCAATATTTCTAGTTACTGTTATAGGTTGTTCATACATCTATCATCATTTAATAGCATAATATGTATATAACGTAAGTAGTGAACAAATATGTTAACTTTATTTTTTATCGTTTTTATTGTACATAATTTCATTCAATATAATTTGACCTAATCTGTCCCATAACAGACACACCTGCATGTTTACTTCTTTTCAGTGTATGGATATCATTTTAACGAATGCATTATAATTATTTCCTCTTCTCTATTTGTTGTTTAAGATTATGTTTACTTGCAATAATTGGTTCAGCATTTCTAGTTACTGTTATAGGTTGTTCATACATCTATCATCATCAAGCATAATATGTATATAACGTGAGGTATGAACAATTATGTTAACTCTAGTTGTTATCATGTTTATTGTACATTTATATGATCATTTCTGTTTGTATGCACATTTTATGTAAACATTGCATTATTGGTCCCTGGACTACTGCATTATACATTGTGTATGTTGATATTAATAAACCGAAATTGAATTGAATTGAATTGAATCCTGTGTCTTAAACTTTGCTTTTCGCATGTACATATACATAGCAAAGTTCAAGGCACAATGAGGTGATAAATGCTGTTTAGACGTTTAAGTCTAGACATCATTTATCCCCACGTTTATGATGGAAACCTGTACTTCGAACTTTGCTAATGTATATGTACATTTTAATTCAAAAGATAAAATTGAATGATTTACGAAGATCAATGTGAAATTTATACTTTATACCCCTGTTTTGCTTAGTAAAATAACATTTTGATGATTGATTTAATCTTATTCCAAAATACATATTTCTTAATTTCTTGCAAATATTAGGTTATGTTGCATTTGAAAATTAAATTATTTAAATGTTACGTAGGTATAAAATAGTTCATAAATGTTAATACAATTACTTGAAACTGCTCAATTCTTTTCTTTTTTTTTCTTATTTTGTAAAGATGATGTAGGCAAAAGATGTATTTCTCTAATGGCATAGCTGTATGACTGAGGTGTGATGGAGCTGATGCAATCTCATGCATGATTGAGGGATTGCGGAAATGTAATAAGAGAGTTGGCAGGACTAAGATAGAAATGCAATATAACAAATTGTCTACAGTGGAGAGGCGGAGGTGGGGGGGGGCAATGTTAAATAAAAAAATATGTCAGTGCAGAGCAGCATGGGAAATCATAGTGGTGGTGGTGGGGGGGGGGGGGGTTATAGGGCCTGAATTGAAGATTTTACTGTTCGGGGGGGGGCACAAATGAAATTCGATGAAGACGAGGCGATAAGGCCTAAAATAAAAACTTGTTGTATTGCCCTTTGCGACTGACCCACATTTCTAAAAATCTACGGTCGGTATTTTACAACAAAAAAAATTAAACCGTTTTTTAGATTTTTTTTATTTAATGAATAAAAAAATATGTATTTTGGTTTGTTTAAATGGGATATAAATGCATAAAATCAAATTATCTCAAAATTCTCACTCGTGCAAACCATGGATTATTATGAGATAACAAAATATAAATGGAATGATGACGCTGAAACACATGTATTAAAGCATTAAAAAACTGAGAAATATCAGCCAAAAGAGGGCGGGGAAAAAAAGAAGAAAAAAAACAACATTCGAATCTGAAAAATATCGGCCCAAAGAGGGCGACAAAAAAAAACTTTAAAAAAAAAATTCCGACCGACCGACCCATGTTTTGGCACCCAAAGGGCAATGCAACAGGTTTTATTTAAGGCCTAATGATGAATCATTTGGGCACTGAAAATATGAAAATGGCACGTGTTAAATGGGCCAAATAATCTGATAAATTTGACTGATAATCATTAATTAAAAAAAAAGAAAAATAATAATTATAACAAGAAACAAACAAATAAGAGGCCCAAATGAAATTAAAGGCCCGGTCACACATAGACGACGCACGGCCCGCGCATTAATAACCGGAAAAGGTCGTGTGCCCGACTTTTGTCAGGATTTGGAAGGAGCTAGCGAGCTGACAACGAATGCATAGCGTGTTGCTAGCGCGCTGTGCGTATACAGGGCGTGAGCTCCACATAATTATATCTGGCGTTGGTCTAGCGCGCTCTGCGCGTGTGTGGGGGTCATTTTGGCGTGTAAATTCATGCTTCAAGCTCCGCGCACAGTAACGAAGTAACGAATGATGACGTACCTAGCAAACGACAACATACTGGCAAAATTGAAAATTTCGAGTGCGTAGGCCGTGCGTCCCCCATGCGTACCCTATGTGTGACTGGGCCTTCAGGCAGACGGTAAAATGGGGTCGTTAGTTGCCGTGGACACACTACAATAACATCTCTTTATGCCATTTTCACCCTGGTAAAAGTGAAGTTTCTAGCCCCCATGTTTTCCAATTTAAAGTTTATTTACCATAGGTTTAGAGTGTAGACCCATTAGACCTATATACATCTTTCTTTGTACAGTGCTTGTTACTTTACCAAGACTGGGTCACATTTCTTATCACGTTGATGACTCCATAACCTTGCAGTACCCAACAATATTTGTATGCTACATGATCACCTTTTTCTGATTGATTCCACCCGGTTTCTTTGAAAATGCAGTCGCATGACCAGAACTCAACTTTATCTTTAATGGTACATTCAAATTTGAAGCAATCATGTATGTTTAAACATGCAAATCATGTTTGTATCCGAGTACTTAAACAAGTTCATTTTTATGGCTGCCTGCCGTAACAACAAACAAATTTGGCGAAAGACTTGATGCATGGCTGATCGTCAACAAAACGGAGTTATGTCTTTTGTCAAATCTGTTTGTTGCTATGGCAGGCAGCCAGTTAAAACGTACTCGTTTAATCAATTGATGGAAATGCAAGCATTACTTTTATAAACAAATAGAACTTTATTATTCCTGGCTCATTTTTCCTGATTGAGGTGTCATCTAAAAGGGCAGAAATTGAATTTTCTAGAAATCCAGATCCGCATGCAAATTGACTTTTGGTTTCCTCTCTTCAATTTGTTTAATCACTCATGCGTGGAATATGCATCATATAAGTTACATCAAATGAAAGAGGAGGATCTAAGCTTTCCAAATATGTGTCGTTTAATAATTATAATTGCGACTAAGTTATAATAAAACTTCGATAATTCTCGGTTTCGTTTTTTCTGGGACACACTGTATTGAGAGATGTTTATTTAGCTGGCTGTACTGCTACCATTTTTCAATATAAGTAACACTTTCGATATAAAAACAAAGATTTCATGGATTGTGCATGAGAACCTCTGTTATCAACTAGATTAGGTAATGGTATAGTTTGTTCGGTTGGTCGTCATTCTCTGGTTAGTCTCATTTATGTCACTTATCAATAGAAATTGATTTATGGCAAAGTTTTTTAAACCATGATTGTCGGGAGGACGGAAACTAGTTCAGTTGAAAAGAAAAACGATTACTATAAAAGATATGTTTCATTTCTCTCAATAGCTAATCATTTTCTTGTTCATATTTCATTTTACGTCTGACTTATTTTTAAACATAACGTGTCTTTTTTCTGCCCCGCCCTCCCTTGTAATTTTTTTTTTTTTTTTAACTTAAACAAAAAGTAATGGGCTTTATCGTCATCTGATTAAAAAGAATATCAACACGTGACTTTTGAAAGAAAAGTGAAGGTAAAAGGAAACCATAAAACTGTACTAAACGCTGATCTAGTATCCTGCGTATGTTGCTACAAAAATTTAAGAAATTACTAACAGTGTGCAGAACCAGAGCACTATAACACTGAGTTCCCATAGGACACTGAATTCTCGACTCTGAATCCTTGTCTGAATTCAGTCCCCCCCCCCACCCCACCCGCCCGTGCGAAGCGCGAATGCTTTGACCTGTCATTAATTATTAGAGAAAGAAGACGATTCGTTGTACCATTCTCGACTCTTATTACTTGACTGAATTCAGTCCCCCCCCCCCCTTTGAAGCTTTGAACTTTCATTCTTAATGAAATTATTAGAGAAAGAAGGTGATTCGTTCTCGACATTTAATCCTTGTCTGAATTCAGTTCCACCCTTCCCGCGCAAAGCGCAGAAGCTTAACGTTTTATTAAATTATTAGAGAAAGAAGACAATTCTTTGTACTATTCTCGACTCTTAATCCTTGTTTGAATCAGTCCCCCCCCCCTCCCGCGCGAAGCGTAGAAGCTTTGACGTTTCATTAAATTATTAGAGAAAGAAGACGATTCTTTGTACCAGTCTCGACTCTTGATCCTTGTCTGAATTTAGTTTCCCCGCGCGTAGCGCGGAAGCCTTGACATGTCATCAAATAATTATGCATTCTAGAAAATCTCTCAGCCCAATATGTACGTTCTTTCCGCTATATTTCTTTCAAGCTATATTTCTAAGTTTCCTGAGGCAACGTGTCCCCCTATCGGACCCAGGATCGCCGCCCCTGTCCATGATTATTGCCAACATGAGCACAAGCGCAAGCGAGTTGGTATGAGCTGAAGCCAAATGAAGGGCAAAATAAGAGTTGTGAAGCGGCCCCTTTACCGTTCATTTAAAATTTGATTGTTGAGTATATAGCTTCTATTTAAAAGACATAACAAATATTGTGCCCTTTTCAAATTTCTCACTAAAGGGTGATGGTTTTTGTAGCGCAGGGGCTGTTTTTAACGTTTAACTTTGAATCCACGGCTCGAGATCTTATGCGGCCTGCCCCCTCTATTCAATGACGTTTCCCAAGCCTTCTGGAATGACCCCAAATATCCCGATTACAGTTTTCCCCTTAGTCGCCGTTACTGTCACTCAGCGCCATTTTCTTGTCTTTCCCCCTTTCTCACCGACTTTTCTCTTTTTTCCCCACCCACTCAGTGTTATCTAGGGTACGCGCATGCATGTTCCCTCAATTTGAAAGCACCCCTCTATCTCCGGTGTGTCAGTACGGGCAGGATTTTTGTGTATTACGGGCCGGACTTTGTTGCATGAAAAATACCCCTTTACCGGAGATTTCGGGAACACAAATTCGGTCCTTCCGACCCCGGAGCGGGAGGGAGGGGGAGGATTTCTTCTTTTTCTTTTCTCCTTTTGATCTCTCGCTCTCTCTCTCTCTCTCTCTCTGTTTCTTCTATCTTCTCTTTTTTTTCTTTCTTCCCTTCTCCTTTCTTTTTCTCTTCTTTTCTTCCTCTATTTTTCCTTCCCCTTTTTTGCGCCGCCAATAGGGGGGCCGTGGCCAGTGGATCCGCCACTGGTAGGGCTGCGTATACCTGCGCTAATGCCTCAGTCACACCTTTGCGTATGATGCTGCGTATTGCTGCGCTGTACGGGGTATATCAATACGCAGCCGTTCCCAGCAATAAATTTGAAGGTAGCTGTCACACTATTCCGTATCTAGCTCGTAGGTAGCTCGTATGCCGCTCGTACTAAGACTGCCTACGGTTGCCTATGACCACGCTATAGCTCGCTGTTGCTCATAGCAGTATGATTCAATACGCAGTTTGCTCGCCACGTTGCGTGTGTAACTGGTTCTTTGCTCGTTTGCTGCTCGCTAGCCGCTCGCACCAGTACGTCTCGTTGCGCCTCACTGCGTGTTCGCTCGATTTAGCTCGTCTGTTGTTCGTAGTGCTGCGTGCCAGCTCGCTCTACAGCGTACCAACTCGCTTGGGCTGCGACGGCGTATAAATAAAAGTCATTTTTGCGGGCTTTTGACGAGTCTACATCTACAAGAAAAATCAATCTAATGAAAAAAACGTCCCAGCAGCAGAGCTCTGTCTTGCAAAAGCTTAAGCTTTTGGTTCAGCTGGAAGAAGCAGAGGCGAATGATGTTGATTTATTAACGTTATGAAGCGCAGCGACGGTGGTTGGTGCTAGGCAACTAATCGCAGTAAGAGAGAGAGCTAAAGCGAACGGCTTATGAGCTAGACTCGTAGCGTAGCGAGCGGCAATTGCAACAGTTCTTGCTGCTGCGAGTGGTAGGCGAGCAACAGCGCAACAATACGCGCAATCATGCGAACGACAACGAGCTCTGGCGAGGTAAATCGTGCAGGGAACGCAGCTATAGGCAGTGACACGCACTCGAAAAAAAGAGGTGCGTATGGTTGCGTATACTTGCGCTAAGCCATTCGCTATTGCTCGCATTTACTGGTTGCCCCTGGTATCCGCCCGTAGGTGATTTGACCTTGCGTTTGCTTGCGATAGTTTAGAAAATGTTAAAACTAGCGAGTGGCAAACGCAGGCCTTTGCGCTAGTCTGCGTATTTAGTACGCAGTGAGCACGTTTCGTTGCGCTTTATTGGGTATGACTGCCTATGTCTGCGTTCGGGCAATACGCAGCAATACGCAAGCCCAATACGCAAAGGTGTGACTGAGGCATTAGCCACTCACTGTCTTCACTGGTTTCCACTCGTATGCGCTCGTAGGCAATTTGACCTTGCGTTTACTTGTGATAATTTCTTTAAAAAATGAAAACTAGCGAGCGACCAACGCAGGCCTATGCGCTAATTTGCGTATTGAGTACGGACAATACGCAAAGGTGTGACTGAGGCATTACTGAACTGATATTTGTTCACGCACCTTCCATCTTGTTGACACTGAATTTTCTGGCCCCAAATTAACCCTTTAAAGTTTAACCCTCGTCCCCCAACTCTGACCTCTGCTCTACACTTTTAGTTCTGGTCGATGATCCGGCCCCAGGCTTCTGTCGATAGTAACACAAGCGCATTGTCTTCTTTTTCATTGCGATAATATGCTTAAAAGTGAAAAAGATGAATATTCAAAATCGCCATTTCGTCGGCGTATTAAACAGTTCTCGTCTTCAAAGGCTAAAACTAACCAATTTGTAAAAACAGGCGTGGAAATTAATACTTATCACTCATTATCACTTACCATTGGACGATGTATTATATTTCTCTCTCACTGTATCAAAGGATGTGTTGCCTGGTGTTTCAGAAGGGTGAACTGGGATGCAAAAAGGACAACATTTTGAATCATAGTAATCACGGTTTCTTGATTGATTATGATAACTATCAAATTAAAATAAAATACATTCAAAAGGATTACGTGACTGACATCGTGATCTAATAATTATGCAATTCATGATTAACAGTGTCACATGGCTGTGATCACATTGGTATTTGTTGACAGATCTATGTCTCTCCAAATCCCCGAATAAATTTCCTTTAAACTGGGAAAGAATATTAGCCAAAGAGACATTTTTAAATTCGTATAACTATTCTAAAGAGTATATTTTCATATTTGATGGGATAGTATAGACATGAGTTAAAGCGAAACAATGTTATCTTGTATCAAATACTTAAAGTGATGAATGTTGTTACATGGTGGAATCATAATTGATTGAAAGACAGGATTAGAGGGAAGGAATGATATACATCACTGAAAATGATTTATCACCTCTTGAAAAATTATGTACAACCATGCAAATGATTGTTAAGATTCGTTATCAGCAAAATACATTGCTTAGATGAGGGAAGGGTGTTCTGCTTTGAATCACTATTTGTAATTACATTTCATGATATGCGTTTATCTTGCACAAGTCATGTTGAACTAATGATCCAAATTGTAATGGGAATTATTGAATACACATAAGACAAACAGAAAACTGTTAGGACCTTGATGCCTTACCGGTATACACACTCACTGCGGTATAACCGCCACAAAATCTTGTCAAGTCCCCTCGGCAGGGCAAGCCACAGCTCGTGTCATCCAGTTGCTTGTTCAAACAGGTCAGTTCACAGGAGCAAGAACATTTAGAGCGATTGTAAACACCTGCCAATGTAAATCTATTTTCTTTACATGTTGCTGTGCAGATGTCGAGTGTGTGGGACTCTGAGATATTGACGACATAATCGAAGTGTAAGCATCCCTGAGGAAAGCAACCGGCGTAATCACCATCTGTATAAATGAAAAATTATGTTAAAAAATCACAAAAAGGTCTTCATCTCTCTGAATTTATCTCTCTAAAACGAGTAACACAATTATTTGTTTCGTACTTCATTACTTCAGAATAAAATACTCTCTATTTCGTGATATAATCATTTGTAAGTAGAGTTTCTTAGTAAGCATTCATGCACAATTACATATGGATACGGATATTTCTGTCGCCGAGGAATCCATAACCCAATACTTGTGGCTTGAAATAGTTCACGGTATATTTGCTTTATATTTTTCACACCAACCTTCATAAAAATAATGATAATAATGACATTAATAATGATTTCTTTAACCGAGGAATCCACACATTTAAGACCGAAAGCTAGCGCTATACAAGTACTGAGGTAGTGAAGTGCAGCTTACTGCGGCTCAGCGTAAATTGCACAACGTGAGCGCCGTGATTTGATGAAAGTAAACTATGAAATAAATCTTATCAACGTCATATCATTTTTTAAGTTTTAGTAAGCATGATAAAATATAATCCATTATATACCTCACTTAAGAAATCCAGCCATCTGATTGGTCGAAATTGCATTCATAAACTTCAACTATTTCTGTAAAATTCCCAGTAACCATGGTTAAAACAGTTCTATAATCCCAGTAACCATGGTTATTGGGAAAATAGTTTCAGTATCCATGGTTACCCCATAGGTTTACATGTTAAAAATGGTCTGAGCGATCGAGGATACCGTACGTGTGCGAAGAATTGGTCGGTTATTTCAATACAATTGAATCTCGATCGATCTTATCGACAATTTTATCTTGCATTGTTGACATGAAGACGAAAATAAACTTCCAACAAAAAAAAAAACATCTGCCGATAGATCTTGATCTAAATTCGTGCCAATATGCATTGCAAAAGTAAAAGAAGGGCCTGTTTAATGGAGCAGCCGCGAAGCATTCACCACGCGAAGCCGTTTTCAATCCATTTTAATGTATATATAAGAAAAAAAATGTATGGTAACAGAGCAGGGTAGCCGAGCGGTTTAAGGCGGTGATTTTAGTTACATCACCTTTTGTACGCAAGAGATCGAATCCCATCTTCGACAAAAGTTTTTTTTTTTTTCGGCATATAAAAGTATTAATGACTGCTTTAAAATTCGAGAAATAGTTGTTTTTATACGCTCTCGGGAAGGTTACAATTGGGCTATTGCCCTCGGCACGCCTCGGGTAATAGCACAATTCTAACCTTCCCTTGAGCGTATAAAAACAACTATTTCTCTCAAAGCAGTCATTAATACTATACTACAGTAGAGTGTCGCGTACTCGCGCCGCACAACATTAGAAATTTAGGTAGCTGGTATTGACTTGAGCAATATGATTCTTACCTTTAGCAGATCTCTGATCTATTTCGTCAGCAGTAAATGTGGCGTTTTCATCACCTACAATTCGATTTACACTTTGACTTAGGGCAAATATGAAAAGAGGAAATCCAAACATTATGGCAAGTAAGCTCCAAAATAATTTTTCTTTGATAAGATGGGTGCTTTGAAGGTGTTATTCCAGAGGCGGACTTGCGTTGTCACTAAGATAGCACCAGTGACTATGTGATGAATAGTATTGTTGCATTAAACACAATAGTCGTAGAGTGATTAATGTCTACTTGATACGAAACAAAAATAAATAAATACAGACATCAAGTGCACTTTCAAAGAATAACGGTAATTTTATAAGATAAATTGAAACTAGTGGAGCAACCCCCCCCCCCCCCCCCCACACACACACACACATGGACACTCACAAACACACTGTATCACCAATATATATTATTTTAATGATTTAATTTTCCAGAAGGAAGCTATTGGCACTATGGAATTATAAATAAACTGGCAGTTTAAAGTCAGCAAACACAATACCTGAAAATACACATCATGAGCTCAATAAAGTCATATTTAACTCATTATTCATTGACAGTCGGCAATTTGATAAATTTTACGGGAGATTTTCAAATCTCTTTTTTCCCCTCAAATTTGATAATAGCCAGGTATTCATCGTAGCTTGAAAGTGATTTTGTTTAATAGTATTTGTTATTTTTTACTCGGAAAGCGATTTAAGACAAGTAGGCCTTACACTCCCATATATCTTAAATTACATAAAGTGACAAGGAGGAGGGGGAGGAAGAGAGCAATGCATTATGATATTGGGGTTTCCTGTGACAGCCGGATTGAAGAAAAAAAAAATTGCAGTCTGAAAGATTGATAAGTACCAATTTTCTGATTTGTTTCGAGTCTTCTATTGAAATATGAATATTTGTTAGGATTTAGATATGTATAAATTGTTAATTTAATATAAGACGCAATTGCAAATTAGAGGATTCGCTGCTGGGACATACAGGATCTGAGGTAATTTGATGTAGTTATGTTATGATTGTTGTTTTTATAAAATGAGCAAACCAAAAGGACAAAGTTCTGCAAACGTGGCAGAGGATTGCTGTCCCTCGTGGTAAATGGCTTTTTGAAAGACATTTAGTTCCTTCACAGTCGCCGTTTCCTCGTTACAAAACTTCGCTTTTTGTTCTCTCTCTCTCTCTCTCTCTCTTTCTCGCCACTATCCAAATTTGTTTCAGCGCCCCCTCTGCCTTCTTTTGGTATCTCTTTCTATCTATCTCCCTATCTATATATCTTTATCCATTGTATAGTTTATTTGTTTAATGATTCTATTGTACATATAAGATTAATTGTGAATTAAGTGTGAATATTCTTCCAGTTAAGACATTATTGTTTTTTTTTAATATTAACTTATTTTATTGTTCTTAACAAAAGATTTTTTAAATTTATTAAAAAAATGTTTTCCCCCTCTTTCATGAACTTAGCCGGGAGAAAGGGGGGGGGGTGCTCACATAATAGGACATGCGGGGTGTGCCGCTCTAATAGGTCACTTTTTCAACAACAAAAGTCCGTAAAAATGCGTCCCACTTTTAGCAACAAAAAAACATTAAAAATGGGGATGTTTTTCAAAATTTCCAAAATTTCCGGGTGTTTGTCATGCAAACACCTAAAGAGAAAAAACGAAAATTTTGAAAACTGGGCCTTTTTTCGAGAAATCTGAGTATCCCCCCCCCCCCCCCCCCCCCGGGTAAACTTATCAATAATCAACTGATACAAACTATTTGTGAACAAAGCAAACGTTGTAATACACAAACTACCAACATACAGTGAATATAATTCCCTATCTTGTTTCTTGTGTCTAGGTGATACATGGTACATTAAAATAACAGATGCATTTACAACAATCATAGGGCTTTTAACTATTGCAAAAAGAAATTAATATAAATGTTATTTTAAGCTCATGTACAATTTTTGGAAACCCGAAACTCTTTGTCGCATTTATATGTATTTAGTTGATATAATTAATGTGCTAAGAGGTTATTTTCTTTTGTTCTTTCAATGTGTTTTTGAATTTTTCCTTTGTTTTATCATCACCTAGGACGGAAACAATTAAGATCTGATAAACAGCACATGAATTATGTTTACATTCAATCGTCAACTAATTGTCTGCGATTTTCAAGAACATCAATTTTTTCTTGTGGCCCTGTGTGACCTGGGTCTAACATTAGTTTTCTTTTGAAAATTAAAATATCTCCAATCAAAAATTGTGTATATAAAGGAATAATTTAGTATATTTTACATTTTTTATTTCGATCTCCTTTTTGCTATCACTCCTGTCGCTCAAGTTTTGATTAATTGTTGGTACACGTAGAACACACACGCAACAAAGTATTTTATTGTTCAAAGTGCCATGTGAAAGGATACAGCAGTAGTCTGATGACATGCTTTGCAATCAGAAACTGAAAGTTCTGTGGGTAAATATTCAGAGAAAAATAGAAAGCTGTTGTTTTTATTGTCTTTCCTCCTTATAGACCAATTTTCGTGTCTCCATGTATACCTGTCTACTTTGTTTCTTTAAAGGGATAGTTGAAAAATAGATAGTTGAGTTCTGTTTTCAGACCGCAAATGCCTTCACAGTGCATGGTTGTTGCTCTTATACTTATCTATGATATTTCTAGTGCCCCTTTAGAACCTAAAATTGCTATGAAGGTAACTTTGCGTGTTCGCTCGCTGTAGCTCGTCTGTTGTTCGTTCTTCTGCGTGTCACCTCGCTCTACAGCGTACCAGCTCGCTCGGGCTCCGGCAGTGTATAAAATATTAGTCATTTTGTTGCTGGACTGGCCATAATTATCTTTGATTATGCGGCAACCAGCGGCAACTAGCGGCAACCAGCGGCAACCAGCAACTGCGAGCTAAAGTGACCGCAGTACGAGCTAGACTCACAGCATAAAAAATATGCATCAAACGGAACTCGCAACGCTTCTTCTGATAATAATATAATAATAATAATAATCTTTTAAAGTCCATACCAAATTTTATTAAACCGAAAATGGAAATTCTTTTTTGCCCAATTGATCATTAGCCGGTCAGCCACTGAGCAGCGCCAGATCAACGTTGCTTTAATCCCTCATTGTTGAACGCCAAACAAGGAAGCAGCAACTCCCGTCTTTTAACGTCTTTTGGTATGACGCGGCCCGGGTTCGAACCCACGACCTCCCGGTTGTGAGGAGGACGCTCTACTGACTGAGCCAACACATCGGTGATGCACGGTGGTGTGCGAGCAACATAGCAACCATACGCGCAATCTTGCGAACGACACTACAACTAAAGCGAGGGAAATCGTGCAGGAAACGTAAATATAGGCATTGACACACGCTCCAAAAAAAGAGAAATACGTATGATTGCGTATGTAAGCCACATGTTGTCGCTCGCTGTTGCTCGCATTATCTGGCTGCCACACCTTTCCGCTCGTTGGCTATTTGATCTTCCTTTGGCTTGCGATATTTTAGAAAATATTAAAACTACTGAGCGACCAACGTAGGCCTTTGCGTTAACAAAGAAGAAAAAAAGTATAAAAAATGCAATAAATTATGAATAATTTATTGACTCCCCCCCCCCCCCCCCTCCCGGTCCCCAACAGAAAAGAAAAAAATTGTGTGCCCATGCCTTGAGCCATAATGCATATGGCCGTACAGATAATTTATTTATGTTGGGGACCAGGGTCAATTGCAATGATTTATTGATAATTTATTGCATTTTATTATTTTGCCCCCGCTGCGTACAGTAATGTTTCAGTGGCAAAGCAATTGACTCGTAACTGTGAGGCCCCAGGATCAAAAACGTGTGTATGTGCTATATTAGTGCCCTTCCGTGGGACATTAATCCTCGTAACTGTCATTTATGACTTAAGGGCCTAGGTCCTCTAGTTGATAAGCTTAGTATCGTACACATGCTTTTAATAGCAGTCACGAAAAACACACACTGGCAAATTATTATTCAATAAAAAATGAGAATATATACTATTATCTAGATCTATTAGGAATAAATCATTGTCAAAATAATTCCATAAATTGGGGTAAAAAAAAAATATCCAACTTTTTGAGCAACAGTGTATATACATATACACACACACACACACACACCACATTAATCATGTAAAAAGTAATTAACCTATTTTAAACAAAGCAATGAAAATTTTCATGAAAAGCGAGACAAATTCTATCATACCTGAGATTCTATAACTTGTACATGGTTTCATATAATTATACGAAAAGGAATGAGAGAACAATGGGTACGCTTCCCGGCGGAGACATTCTACCAACCCTTTGCAACAACAAAAATCCGAAGGGGGGGGAGAGGGGGGGACAGTATTATATTGGGAACTTTGATATAAGCTACAAAACTACCCTGTCGCTCATAAAGGTGGAAGATTTTTTTTAAATCCCAATTTATGGAATTATTAAAAAAATTATTTAGAAATAATAAATCTAGATAATAGTACACATTCTCAGATTTTATTGAATAATAATTTGCCAATGTGTGTTTTGCGTGACTGCTAAAGCATGTATATGCTACTATGCTTATCAAATATGGGACCTATGCCCTTAAGTCATAAATGACAGTAATGAGAATTAATGCCCCACAAAAGGGCATTAATATAGCTCATCGACACGGTGTTGATCCTGGGGTCTCACAGTTACGAGGCCATTGCTTTGTCACTGAACCATGACTGTACGCAGCGGGGGCTAGGGTAGGGGGCAGTTTCCATAAATATTAAAGGTATTACAAAGTTTTTGTATGGGGTCATGAATTTGGTTCAAATTAACACATTAGAAGCATATGCGTTCCTACAATATACATTGATCGTTGTCGCGGTTGAAATCGAGTCTAAAGTTATGAAATTATAAATAATAAACTCTTTATGTTGTATAGCTCCCACTCAAGGTCAAGATAGTAATTTAGCTATGAAACAATGTTTCTTGACTGAAATCGACCGATTAGCTATTCCCGTTAGAAAATTATATATCCCAACTACATATTCTGAGATTTTCATGGTCGCAGCTATGATTGTACGGCCATAGGCGCTATTTGAAATTTATCAAAATTTACCGG